TATTATTTTTTTTTTTTTCATTATATTTTATCACAGTATTCGTGGGAATTACATGCTTGAAATTTTCTGTCTTGTTTAAGATATAATATAAATTTTATTCAAATTTTCAGAAATACCTGTGATTTTTAATTTTTAGGTTTATACATAATTTTATTTGAATATAGAGAAATGGAATGATAACCTTTTTAAATTTTATATATAATAATAAAAATGAATAGTTTTAAATAAATACAAAACAAGTTTGAGTTCTAACTAGCGCGCTTCATTTTATTTAATTCTACATTATTATTTTATATTGTAATTGAATTTTGATTAACAATTTAAATTAAATTTATAAAACTTAAATGTTTTATATACATTATAATTTGCTATTTAGGCTTTTGGTCGTCTCGCACAGTCCAAATGATAAATTTCTGATGAATTGATTTAGCAATAATAATGAAATTTTAAATAATTTGCAAAAATACATAAAAAAATTCATAAAAGGAAACACGATAAGGAAAAGTTTTTTCCTATGTTCTACATATCTCTCATCTCTTATCTTAATCACTTACTAAAATAATTTTTTTTTTACATAACGACGACATTAAAAATACTAAATGTTATTTATATTGAGAATAAGATAACTTATTTCTAAATTAATAAGTGATTAATATCTATAAACTCTCTTATAATTAATGTACCTTAATGTACTTTCAGTTTTTATAAGTAGTAAACTATTTCAGTATTGTCACATATAAATTTTCATTGATCTGTAATTCGTGGAGGTTTACTAAAGCAAGACACATTGTAGAAAAGATCGAAATTATTTTTTGTTACTGGAAAAATGACTCTCTCTGTAATGGCTGACATTAGCACGATGAGAAAGCTTTATTTGCTTCAATGAATATTGTAATATTCCTTTATTTTTGAAGAAAAAAAATCTTAGTTATCAGGGATCAGTGTTTTATAGAACAGGAAAATTCCAACAAGAGAATGAATGTTAAACACCTGTTAGGTTAACAAAACAGATTTTATTTCATCTATTACATTCAACTTTGTTTTTGTTTTAGAAAATAAAATATTTGTTTGCCTTGTAGATTTCAGAGATGATAATTTCAAAAAATTTCAAATCTATTCTTAAGTTTATCTAAATAAAATAGCATATTATAAAAATAGTTAAATAGATAAGGTAAATTACTAAATCTGTGTTAAAATATTTTATTTATAAAGTAAACAACAAGTAATGTCTATTTTTAGTTTTTTTAGTCTGTTGTACATATAAATAAATGCTATATATATAACTACAGAATGTAATATAAAAAACTAATTAATTTTAAAATATTCAAACTGAATTCAGCAAATCAAGCTGTAAAAATACAAATTGCTTTGATATTTTTCTTCATATTGCTTTTAAGATCAATAAAATATGATATTTATCATACTTTACTCTGAAAAATAACAAAAAAGCAGCATCATAATGGGGAAAAAGTATTTCATTTAATGGGAAATTGCAGTCGTTAAATCGATAACTTTACCCGAGGTTCGTAATCGGTGTCTTAACTTTTCACCACAGCTTCGGGAGCCCGCTTTTTACCGCGTATGCAAAGTTTTGAAACCTATGAAATATTTTTTTTATAATTTATAAAAACTAATACTTTCTAAATATTCGACCTCGAAATTGTGGGTTTGCCATTGCCGAATTAGCACATCTATAATTGTAGTAATTAATACAGTTGACAACATTTAGTCATTATATTAATGAAAATTGCAAAGTTTGATATTTGAATGGTGTTTTCTTAGTATGAAGATTGTTTTAATAAGTTGACATACAATAAATGTTTTGCTCTTAACGGATACATATTACAACTGGGACATTTTAGATTATATCTCGAAGATTAACAATTCGTATTCCTCGAGATTCCTCGACTAAAAGCTGCTGTTTATCATATTCAATTATTTAATAATATTGATCAGAGATAAAAACATTAATATTAAGAATAATATCTTATACTTTTTTTTTAATATATAATAATTATAAATTAAAAGTGTAAAATTTATATAAAAACTGAACAGTATTCTGTTATTTAAGTTGGAACTAAACTACACCGCAGCAGATGATTTTGTAAAATAAGCAAAACACTGGTAAACTAGGTTAACAGAACAAAGTAATGCCATCGATTAAAGTTTTTAAACTGATATTTGCATAATGTTACAAGAAATATAACAGTATGATAATCAGGCTCCGGCATAATATAGAATTTTGCAAATTTGCTGGTCCTTTGGCAGTCCGTTATTTAACCACGCTTAGTAAAATGCAAAAGTTTTTGGTGCAAATTTTAATTTATGGATAAGGATAAAAATGCAAATTGTTTTGTATCTTGTGGAAAAGTATATACTTTCTTGTAAAAGTAAATTATCATAACAAATATAGTGTACTTTTTATAAATTTTGGAATTTTATTTAATTTATACAGTTATTGATACAGTATTTTATATTAAATTATTTGCTCCTATTAACAATATAACAAGTAATTTGTCTNATTCCCAAAAAATTATATGTGTTTTGGAAATGTTGAGTCAAATTAGTCTAGAATCGATTAATGTTATGGATGGAAACCTTTCAAACAGCCGTAGTCCGCAAACTGCACACATGCTGGGTTGTGATTGGCTCATGTATTTAAGGATTCCTACAACGTGAAATTCTTATAAAGTGGAACATATCTACCGCATTATAGGGGGTCGACTGTATATTGAAAGTTGAAATCAGACTAGAGGTCTGGGTAGCATAATTGGCAATGCATCCGCACAATAAGTGGCAGTTGTGGGTTCGAGTCCCACTCTGGCCAATTCTTTTCTTCCAGTTTAATTTAAATTATTTAATTAAAAAAATAATTATTAAATTTATTAAGACATGGCACCATAATACCTCCTCTAGTACCAAATTGTTTCATGTAAAAAGTAAATAAATAACAACTTTCTACTTTTTCAAGTTTATAGAAACATCAGAATCATTCTTGTTATGATTTAATTTATTTATTATCTGATCATTACTTATTATTATTTACCATATTTATAAAGTATTCATATTGTTTATAATGTTTAAGTGCAATCTATTAATTCTATGTTTTTTTTTATTAGAACATTTTTAAATCTAAAAATGTTCTGTTTAAATGAATCCAAGAGTGTTGTAATTTCTTTCCTCTAAATACATTTTTTAAACACAATCATTCTTTCAAATTATTAGCATAGTATCTATAAATTGAAGATTATCTTATTTAAAACAATGCAAATAAGAGATCTTGTTTTAAACTTTACTTAACTGAAAATAGAATTTGAAATTTTGGGCAATCTTTAATTAAATGGTTTAAAAAATGTAAATTTGTCTATAATGATAGATACGTAGAATGGTGTAAACAAAATGAAGTTTGACATCTATCCTGCACATTTTCCTGCATGTTTAATACTGAAAGTTTGCATTTATAGTATTAAACAAAAATACTGTATATTGATTTCTATTCTGATTACAACATCATTCTTTCACATTGCTTTAAATATTTTAATGCATAAACTTAATTTGTTTAAATAAAAACGAATATTCTCTATTATTTAGGTGTATTTTTACATATAATGGCTGATACGTTAGGAAGTGTTGGTGTAATAATATCTGCTATTTTAATGAATCAATTTGGATGGATGATTGCTGATCCTATTTGTTCAATGTTTATAGCTACATTGATTGGTGTTAGGTAATTATTAATGTATTTTATAATAATAATTATAACCGATAACAATAAATATTATTATTGTTTTGGTGGTGTTTCAGTGTCTGATGCTATGGGGACAAGACACAACTACATAATAATTATAACTATATTACACTTAATAGTTTACCAAAGCTTATTAAATTTAATACAAGATAGTAAGTTAATTGACTACCTTCAGTTTACATTGCTCTATATCTATATATTTAATTAGTTGAGTTATGGCCCAATAAATCCAGTGTTATCATTTGATTAGTTTGTAAAGATTCCAAATAATAGAAAACTGCAGCATTAGCATGTGTTAAGATTTAAGTATTTAATTTAAAATATAATTTATATATTTTTTTACACATTTTAGTGTGCTGCCACTTTTGAGAGATTCTATATATATTTTGATGCAAAGAACTCCAAAAGAATTAGAAAAGGTGCTTCCTAGCTGTTACCAAAGGGTAAGTAGTATATGTTAATGAAATATAATTGGGATTCACTCATAAATAAATTAAACATTAGAATAATAAATTACTAAACACTGGAAAGAATTTTAATCTGATGAACTAAATACTTGAAATAAAATTATTGTGTAAAACAGTAGTACTAAAATAGGATACTTTTAGTATAATCTGAAAACTTTATATAACAATATAATAAAGTTTATTCTATAAAAAAATTTAAAAAAAAACATTTTTTAAGTGTGAATGTTTCAAAAGAAGATTTCAATTTGATAAAATATTAAATAAATAATATTAAAGTATAAGACACATACACAAACTAAAAATCAAAAACTTATACAAAAGACATCATTTTGCTTTTCAGCAATATTTTAATGCAAACTAACATTTTTGGCCTACTTGATGATCTTCATCAGGCCTATCTAAATTTTTATTTGTTGTAAATTTTTTATTTTTCTGTTGCCACAATACCTCACGCTCCCCACAATTAATATTATGTTAGTCTAAGTCCATTTCAGCAACTCTCTTTTATGCTATTTTATCGAGTGCTATATTTCCTATACTCGTCCATTATGGCATTCCTGTAAACCTACCTCATCTAAAGGTGCATTAAGAGTATTTTTTTTTTTTTTTTTTACTAATTTTCAGTCTCACACTGATTATGGATTACTCATTTGGTCTATGGCTGTGTCTTCCTCTTTTGGATAAAATTGCTAGAGCTCTTGATGAAGTTTATCTTTTAATAAATTATGCAACTTACAGTATACTCAAAATCCTAGTTTTGCTATGATTGTATTATGTTTTCCTTTGTTTTTTTGAGCATATCAAACATTTTGATTAATTGCTTTATTTTAAATTTTTTCGTGGCTTTATTTATTATGATTGGCTTCTTTTATGTATCGCACCGTAAAACCTACAACCTTCATTTCGTGTATTCACTCCATTCTTTCATTTGAATGTATTACAAAGGTCCTTTTTTATCATCATATTTCATGAAATTTAAATAATTTTTATGACTTTTTTTTATTTTTTTATTTTTCTTGTTTTAAATTAAAATGTAAAAATGCATTGTACCATTTTGTTTCTATGTATATCTGTTAATTTTTGGGGGTAGATATCCACTGTCCTTCAGCACTTTTCTATTTACTTATAAAAATAAATAAATCTTTTCTGTTTCCTTCTCTAAATCTCTTTGCCAAACCCTTCCTTGTGGTCTCAATGCAATATTTCTCCTTTTTCTATTAATGGGATTCAATAAATGATGAAAAAGTATTCTATTTGGTTCCTGGACTATATCTTTTGTACTTCATAGGGAATTAAATATGAAAATGTATGATCAAATTTCAGCAGAAAGCTAATGTGGTGACTAATATTTTGTGATTTGTTTTGCATACACTCATTTTACAAGGTGTGTTCATAAAGTAATGCAAGTGTTGTCGTAAAAAAAAAAATTATTCAAGATATAGTTACAAATGTTTAGAAATCTTCAAAGTACACCTCTTGTGCATCTACACATTTTTTCCAGCGGTTTTCCCAGGCACGATATGTGCCCTGGAATGCCTTGACGGGAACCTCATTCAGAGCCGTCATCACGGTGGCTTGGATTGCCTCAATGCTATAAAAACGGTGTCTTTTGAGGGCAGTCTTAATTCTTGGAAATAAAAAGAAGTCTGCCGGAGCCAAGTTGGGATTGTAAGGGGGCTGTGGCAGCGTTGACAAATTGCACTTCACCAGGAACTCGTGGATGTGTAGAGCAGTGTGATTGGGAACATTATCATGATGGAGCACGCAGGTAGTGGCAATCTCCTTTCACACACGAAGGATCTTTTTTTCTCAATCTTTCGAGAACATCCACGTAGTAGGCAGTGTTGACGGTCTGTCCTTGAGGTACAAACTCCTTGTGGACCACACCCTTAGTGTCGAAAAAGACACAACCAGCATTGTTTTCACTTTTGACTTACTCGTTCTTGCCGCCTTTTGTTTGGGGATGCCAGGGTGTGCCATTTGGCACTCTGGCACTTTGCCTCTGGGTCGTACTCAAATACCAATGTTTTATCCCTGGTAATAACATCTATATATATAACCCATTCAACGGGTATCCATCTTCTGTCTGTCCCGTAACCGTTTGATAACGGACACTAGAGGCGCCCCTATCGTGTGTCATATTTCAAACATTCAAATTAACAATATAAATTTTTATTATTCATTTGGCCAATAAATTATTATTTGGTCAATATAACAATATAAATAATTCAGTATATTTGTAACAGGAATTTATTATTTCAGGGGGTTATATCTCTTGAAGGGTTGCGAGTAGGAGTATGGTTCCTTTGACTTTATTGTTAGTACAGGGGTCTACAGTTTGGGGATGTCGCCACCTCTTCATCTGGAGGGTAAATCTTACCATTCGGATTTTAAGAGCTGTAGAGCATATTGATAGGAACAAAAAAGTCAAAGGAACCGTGCCTCATGAAATTTGTAAAGAACGCCCACTAGGGGGCGTCCTAGGCTACTAGTTGTCTAGAAATCAGGCTCAATTTGAACACGTTCTGAAAGTTCATTTGCTATCATCACTCAATTGGCCTTTTGCTCGTCCATCAACACTTTGAGGACCAGCTTGACACACACCTTTCACATGTTGAGATCATTTGTCATGATAGTGGGCACAGTGACTATTTGAAGGTTCAGAGTCAAGTTACTACACACTTAACAGTCCAATAATTGCAAATAGTTCGTATCTTGTATCAGTTTGTTCAGGAAGACACCTTACAATGCAGTAGCACTTCCAGCAATCACAACCTGTCAGTAGCGAGACGAAATCTACTTCTTGTTGGCCAGACGATACCTTCTTATTAGCCAGATGATGTTTATCTCTCCTTAGCAAGACGAAACCAATTTCTAATTTTTAATTTTTCCATTCAAACTGACCTTATATATGCGTGACGGTGGCCGGCAGTCAACCAATCAGCATCTCTGCTTGTCTGTAGTTCTATGTCAAGTCCACTGTCCATTCAAATCTAATAGATCGTGCAACGTTTACTGACCAATCCTAACGAGATACGATTCCACCACGACATTCAGTGTCTGCTCAATCATCCTAACACTCATTCAATGGTCAGAGTTCAACAAATCATGCACATGAGTCACATTTTTGTTGGTGTGGCTGGTTGATGGCCATCCAGAGCAGGGATTGTTGATCACCTCTTCCCGGCCCTCATTAAACGTGTTCAAACACTTTGAAACTAGCAAAGATGATAGAGCAGAGTCCCCGTAGGCTTGCTGGATCAATTGATTGGTATCAGTATAACTTTTGCCAAGTTTGGCACAGAACTTGATCACATACCGTTGTTCGACCATTTGCTCCATCGTGCATTGTGACACAGTCTTTGAGACGAGTTTCACAAAATCAACAATACTGACACAATCATTGCTCGAAGCAAATTGACCTTGGATGCATTGTGAAGCCAAACGTCCCCCATCTAGCCCAAGTGGTCTGAATGTGCTGCGACGCACAGTCGCTTCACAATAAAATCACTTGCATTACTTTATGAACACACCTTGTATCTATGGACTTCGTATGATGTAGCTTATGAATAATTATCCTAGTAACTGAAATTCTCATTATTATTTTGAATATTTTTATTCATTCTTAAACAAATTATAGAAAATTAAAACTTAAATTTTTAAAATAATTAATTCTAAAAATGTGATTTTCTTCCAATAATTTCTTAGTTAATACTTTAACAGTTGATAAAAATTAAATTTAATAAATCATGCATTTCGAAAACAATATTATATTGTTTTGTTTATTTATTTCAAACAAAATAGTCCAAAAAAGACAGGAAGAATATTTTCCAAATAATAAACCAACTCTTATTAAAAATACAAAATAAGTTGTTACAAAATATAATAATTTAGATATATAAAATTAGATTAAAAACCACATTATTATAACAAAAATGCATAAATAAAAGTTAAAAATATATATATACATATATAAAACACTAATGAACTTACACCTCTCTAAATGGACTAAAGCATAAAAAATAGTCTGAAATATTCTGATCTGAAAAAAGAAGTGCCTGAATAAACTAAGAACAGAAATTAGAAGAGTAATATATGAGTTATTTGAAATTGTTCTTAATGGAAGAAAAATTAAAACTATTAATTGTAAAATTGAATGCATTAGAGAATTAATTGCAAATAATTTCATAGGTAATGCAATTAGAAGGTGTATACAGTGTTCAAGAACCTCATTTCTGGACTTTATGTAGTGATGTATATATTGGAACTCTGAAATTGGAAGTAGCTCCAGATGCAGATGCCAGATATATTGTTAGCCAAACACACAATATATTTACTCAGGTAAAATCCTCTCTAGATTTGTTTTGAATGTCGTTTATTTTAAAACGTGCGGCGAATTAATCGTAATTTTTTTATAGGCCGAAGTTCGTCAGTTATATGTACAGTTAGACTATACACGGTTATGAATCGTGTACGAGTATCCGGAAGATGTTTCTTCTTAATTTACTAAATGATATCGCTATTTTAAATTGTAACAGTTATTATATTGATGGTTTCTTTTTGTTCATTTAAAATTTTTATTCAATTCCTGGTGCCAAAGATTTTATCTAATGGGTTTCCTCGAATCAAATCTAGGAGAAACACACGCTACATTTTCCTACATACATTGTACTCTTCTTTTTTTGTACATTCCTATAAGACGTGACCAATTCTATTTATTATTTTATTCTTACGAAGTAAAAGCAGTATTTTTATATCTTCATTACTATTTGTTATATTAGTATTTTAAACCAGGACTGGATAATTATTTTGTATGTGATACTTGATACTATACAAATGGAAATGGAAAGATGTAAATAAAATAAAATTGAGATACAAACTTGTACTTAATATATTGCCCAGATGGGATTTACGAAGAATTAGTATCACGACATCAAAGACTTCAGTAATAGTAAAACTGTCTAGAAAGCCTTATAAATAAGTGAAAGTTTTTCTTTATTTTCTTACTGTTTAAAATATGTTTTTTTATAATTTACTGTTACGAACTGTCTGACGGTGACGGATAAATCCTCGGTTATTACAATTGTTCGCTTATAAGAGTCAATCGTTTTTTTGTAATCAAAATATCGAAACCGATCTAAGAATAACGACAATAATTTTATTTTCTCGAAAAATTATTTAGTGAAACCTGTTCGAGATGTAAAAAATAAAAATAGATTTCATGATAAAAAAAAAATCAAAAAAATTTATATAGTTTGCATTGGTTTTAATGAAATTCATCTTGTACAGGTTTCATTACATTTGAGAATTAACATTGGCAATGTAGACATTTTTTCAAAAGTTGTTAATAAATCAAGATCATTGATTTTTAAAATGGTATATTAAATCTAGGAGTCATTGTTCAGTTCATTTGAAACACATTCATTTTTATAATAAAATAAATATAACTTTATTTAGAATAATAAACTTTTTATATANAAATTTGGCCCGACCGTTGTTTTATTACCGCTGTTGTGAATTTTTTAAATATATCTAATGCTAGAGATAAAATATGAGAAAATCAATGATTGATGGATACCGTATTTCCTTGATTAAGACATTATTAATTTAGAATAATATTTTAAAGTCTTTTTTAAGTAATGAGAAACTAAAAAAATAATACAATTATTATAAAACGAGTAATTTAGTTCTATTTCCGTGCTCTTCTGCTAGACAAACACTTTTTGTCTTAATGATTCATCATATGGTATTTCGAAAGCTTCTTATGGGTTTAAATTAAATGCTTGCTATTAGCAAAGCTCATATGAACCAAAATGATTGAAATGTCTATTATTTGTGCATTAATCGGGTCTGCAATTCGTTGTCTATAAACTATAGAAAATGGCCTACTTTAAGTACGTGGAATATCTGTGGCCCGCTAACTATATGCAATTTTTCCGCCAGTCGAAAAATTCGGACACTGCCGTTTCGGACAAGAAATATAGGATACTGTCAATTTTAAAATGAATTCCTATCTCGACAAACAAAACTGTGTAAAAAGTGCATATAAGAATCAAGGAAATACAGTATATTTGATAGATGGTACAAGTTTATATGAACATTTGGAATTAAAGAAGTAACTATCATAAATACTACAATTGAAAATCAATTAAATATAATTATATATCAGGCTTTAGAAGAATATCAACATGTAATTAACAATGTTACAAATTATACTTAATTTTTAAAATCTATTCCAAGAAAGAATTCATTCTTCTTTATCTATTGGGTTTTTTAATCTTCTTTGTTTATTATCCTCCTTCAGAAAGTAAAAAATTATTTTACATATTTTTATCATTTGAATTTATATCATTTAAATTGAGAAATTAAATTCATACCTTATGAATGATATAAGACAGAAAAACGTCATATAATAATGTGATTGCGCTAACGTATAAAACTCTGAACTGTGGCGGCAAGAAATAAAAATTCAATGCTTGTAGAGGTATATAAACTGCCCATTCGGCCTGTAAAATAAAATAGTTATATTTTAATTACTTAACATTATGGTGTCATTCAAATAGAAATTTGTCAAATAATAAATCATAGTCCAATTCTTTCTTTTACAAATGTAGTAATTATAAGTCAAACTACTGTTTATTATAATTAATTATAAAAATCAACTTGCAATTGGTCATAGCTATATACTAGATTAAATCTAGCTTTAGAAAAAGTTAGAAGAAAAGAATAGCTTTTTCGAAAACTATACGTACGATAGAATCCTGATTATCCGAGGAAACGCGGACCGATGCTACCTCGGAAAATCAAATACTACCTTAGCAAATTTAATCATATAGGTTATATAAACGACATCTGTTATGTCATTTATTATATAACTAATAAATACAATAGTTTTAAGAATAAAAATGGGTATTATTGTAGTAATATTTTAATATGATATGAATGGTTTGTCTCGCATTGAAGTTAAATGGTGAAAGTAAATAGAAACAAATTATTTTGTAATATATGTTATCATTTTAAACTTTCTTAAAAAAAAGTCCTTAAGAGTTTCAGTTCCTCCCATCTTTGCTACACTTAACATAGGAAAAAACCTCTCTTAGTGCCCACGGGGCAAAAAGAGTTTTAAAAAGTCATTTGCAGTAAAAAGTACTACAATATTTATATGCTCAATGTTCTTACAGGAAATCTTTTATAGATTATAAGAAAAGTAATATATTCACTTACAGATTTATCTCAAACTTGCTTAATAGGGTTGCTACTTTATTCTTAATTAAAATGAATAAAATTATGAACATTATTTATTATTTAATCAAAAACTTCACATAAACTGTGATCAGCTTATCTCTGATAATTTTTGATAAATCAATAAAATTACAATATATTTATAAGTTTGTAAATGTTTACGTCTTAAATAACGGAAATTTTTTATGAAAAATTTTAAATTGTGTAGTAACCTTTCCTTATGACATTTATAATGTAAACTGCTGTGCCTACATTTACTTTTCTACGTGTATTATATGCTAATTATATGTAATTATTACTATTATATGTAATGTTAAATGCTTTGGCATATAATATTAATATTCAAAAATTTATTTGGCAATGATAAACTTCTTGAATATGATGTGAACTAAATGGTGAAAACAGAAATACCTATTGCTATACAAGGTCTGTTCAAAAAGTATCGGACCTTTGGTCGGCAAAAATAAATTTATTGACTTTGAGGTACAAAACCCTAATCCCCTTCAAAGTAGTCTCCTTGGTAATGTATACACTTCTCCCAGCGTTCCTGCCATTGCTGGAAACACTGCTGGAACGCATCTTTTGGAATGGNGTCAGACCCCCTATAACACTGTTGATAATTCCATTTTGTATGAATTCCATGTTGTACGAGTCACTTAGATTTTACAAATACATGTGCCGGACTGTGAACGGCTTACATATTTGTAAAATCTAAGTGACTCGTACAACATGGAATTCATATAAAATGGAATTATCAACAGTGTTATAGGGGGGTCGACTTGTAGTTACATTTTTAGATATTTATCTCCTTTTTATATTCAAATTTTAAGTAAAATAAAAGTTAAAAATTTGTTTTGATTTTTATATTTTTAAGGTATAAAAATTACCGAAATGGTCAAATACATCAAAAATATTAAAAGAAAATACTCCAGTAGAAAATACATAAACAACGAAAACAATTGTCTAATTTTTAAGCACGTTTCGGGATTACAATTGAAGACGAAGAGATAATTTTGTGTAAGGACAAAGAAAAGTAAAATGGCTAACGAGTGACGAGGGGTGAACGAACTTTACCCGGTCAATAATAACACGTAGTTTGACGAGAGGCGGCCATTAGTATCGATGTTCATTCAATGATGCGAGTCCTTGGGGATTTTTACGGATTCGTGTCCTACATGAATGTCCTTGACACCTTTAGCTCGTTAGCAAAATTGTTCCCATCCAGACATATTAATCCGCGAGATAATTTAAAACTCCCTCCCGGAAGGATACTTTCTCATAAGTCGTGAGAAAAGTGCAAAAACTCTCACAGTTTCATTTGTCATTCCTCTGACTGGATCACGAAATGACGTAATGATAAAAAATATAAACCGGAAAATAACCCGTTTCCATATAACGCGCATTTCTGTGTTACGGGAATTTATTAATTAACCAATAGAAAATACGGATTAAGTATCTTTCTTTTTAATTAACAACAAGAATCATTTTAAAGATTTTATAAAGAAGCGTTATTCGAATAAAAATTGAAAAGAGCTTACAAAAAAAAGCGAAACTGGTCGAATTACGGGGCTAAATAACAAGGAGGATCGAAGTCTTCAAATAGCATTTGGTCAGAGAAGCGAGTCCGATAGGCAATAAAGAAGCCAAAACCGGATGTAAGTAGGTCAAGGTACGGCGTTGGGCGACGTCTTTCTCTTAATAAGAAATTCCATCCGAATCTCCCCTTCCATCCTCTTTTCCCGCCCCGCCTTTACTCCACGACGTCACAACGGCCGCAGCCGTGACCTTGGCGCTGCGGGCGCAAAACGGCGGACTCGGGTCAAGGTCGACCACCGGAAGAGGATATACGGGGCGCGATAATCCCCGGCGGATAATAGCTTTTGAAATTTGTTTTTTTTACCTCGGTTAAGTAAGTTAAAACGGGTTGAATAATAATAATTAAAAGCTCCCCAGTTGCTTAATTGATATTTAACGCGAGTCGTTCGTCGGTGGCACCGGTTCCGAACAAAAAATTTATTCTCGTCTATTAATATTTAAAGCCCTCCCCCTTTCGCGATAATTAGGGAATTGATGAATTCTTCGAAAGACTTTATTAAAAATTTTGGTTATTCATTAAACACTCGCGTATGGAATAATAATAAAGAGCGAAATCTGGTTTATGTAGAAAACTACTTTAAAATGTCTTAACGAATGCCCCGAGAGAAAAAATGATCCTTTTGTTTTAGGATCGTCGTTTGCCCGCAGGAAAGATGGTAAATTCGATCGTCTTCGTCGTGACTAAAATGCGAAATTGCGAAATTACCATAACCACTTCTTTATAAACCACGTTAGTTTCTACCTTTGGAATCCATAAATCTTCTCTCGTAACTAGAATATAAGGAGGAAATTTGTTTTTTACGCCTTATATTAATTCTCTTCGATGAAATTTAAATTTATTTACGTAAAATAGCGAGAAATTTGCAGCGAATTTCATTCGATAAAATCGGAAAAAGTGACGATACTTCGACACGCGGATAAACATCTAACGATATTTTTTCCCTGGAACGTTTTCCTCCAAACAAAACGAATTAGAAATAGAATTTCTCGCCACCGAGAGTTATTCTATATATAAAACGAGTTACACTCCATCTGTTATATTTTCGAATATATCCTCTTAAATGCAGTGGCGCGTTATCCTACGGGTAATTTCCCGGGGCCCCACGAATTTTTCGGTTTGGGGGGCCCCAAACCGAAAAATTCCCGAAGAAAAATGTCTAAAGTGGTTTCTCGTAAAATATTTTCTAATCCGAATGGAAGCGTAAAGCCAAATTAATTATTCGCGCGCTAAATACTATAATTAGCCTAATTGTCGTTAATGTCAATGGCGCAAAAAAAAGTTTGTTGGTCGAAGAGAAAAATTCGTAACCCCCAGGCAGAAGTGACGCATTAATCGCCAAACAAATATCAATTTGCGAAACATCGACCTAAGAAGAATTTAAAAAAAACGAGGACAATCTTAAGCCCAAATGTAAATATTTAAATTAGAGTTTTTACGCTTATTCTCTTTCCCTTAGGAAACAATGTCGAGGAAACCATTGGCCTAACCGTACAAAGGTTTGATTTTAGAGAAAGTTATCCCCCCGAGACACACGGGAAAATTAATAAATACGTCTCCTCACCCTACGTAATTGTATATTTTTCTAACGAAAATATGTAATTAATTATTATTTCCGTCAAACAGTTTAATTCGGTTCGACCTAGAATCGGCGATGATCTAGAACCGTTTACACGGTCCATTTGTAGAGTTAATTCCTCCCGAGAATCGTCACCGTTATCGAGAATTTTCATTCAATATATAATTTCCATTTCGATAATAAGATAATCGCTAGTTATTATTATTATTATTAAAACACGTATATACGTAATTCGTGCGAGAAATTCTAAGGCGGGGGGGAGGGCGATAAGGATTTTGCATTTTGAAAAGAGTGACGGTGTACGGTACATACATAATAAGGGGGGAAAAAAACAGTTAAATGGCATTGTCTGTAAAATTCTGTTCTTCTGATTGTCGCCGGCGATATTTCTCCGTGTCAAATGTGGGAATTAGGTCTGAGATAATACTTTTCGTCGATTCGTAACAGATAGACACGGTTTTATTGTTGCGAGTGTCGCTCCTCGTTTCGGGACGATGTTCGTCCGATTTCGGTTTAAAGAACTTTGAATAATTCGTCACGGCTTCGAAATTAAGTTTATAATACGAATTCAAACGTATATTTGACGATTGCGTTTAATAAAATCGATACGTTTATACGTAATTTAGTACCTCGGACGACCCCCCTATAACACTGTTGATTATTCCGTTTTATATGAATTCCATTTTGTACGAGTCACTTAGATTTTACAAATACGTGTGCCGGCCGGACTGTGAACGGCTCACGTATTTGTAAAATCTAAGTGACTCGTACAAAATGGAATTCATATAAAACGGAATAATCAACAGTGTTATAGGGGAGGGTCGACTTGGTACAGTTCTTGGCGCGTAAGCTGCGATAATATAAACAGAAAATTATAGTGATCTTTGGATAATGACGTGGCTGTTGAGGGTTTTCTTCGAAGGCGAATTCGTAAAATGAATTATTATCCTTATTTTACATGCAGATGAGGTAGATCGACTAGTGTTTTTTTCTTCTTGTCTTCGCGTCATAACATCCTAGATCTAGATTTCTGATATACGCCCGTCGGCATCACCTACATCTCGAGCACTTCCGGGTGATTATCAGTCACGAAAATATCGTTCAAAACTATTACGAGAATTTTATGTATATTTTATTTAAATGGTCCATTTCTTTTACTTTATATAAATTGTTTGGGAATCGATCGATGGAAATTATTAACCGCGTAAATCGCCTTCGGAAACAAAAGAGAGTAAAATAAACTTCTATATTCGCTCGGTGTCGTTTACGATTAGAATTTCGGTCGATTGTACGAATATTTTTCACGAAAAATCGAATTTTACGTTAATTTTTCATTTCGAACCACCGGAATGACCTCTTTAAACTCAACCTCTTTTTCTTTAACAATGGTTCACTCGCCAGAGGAAGTGGGTCAAAGATTGTAGATTGGATTCTCCTGTTAGGTGGGGTTTCGTACAACTTTCTCTTTGATTTTTGCTTCGTTCCATAAAAAATCAATCATTCGATTAAAACTTTTCTTTAACTTTATTATTACTTGTCATCGCTTCTCGTTCGGATAATATTTCGCGTAAGCTCGACCCCGTATCGGACACTTCATCAATTATTGGCCTGGTAGATGGAACAATAGACGGAACCTTCCGACCTTGGATGCACCGATGCGTGGCTTAGAATTTCGTGTAAGAACCGTTTTACGGCTACTCCGGACAAGAGTTTGATCGCCCTCTTCGGCGCCCCTGCGCATACATAATATATGACGTAAAAATATTTATCCGGGTTAATATTTAGGTGGAGCAGGAAGCGCGCCGCGTTTTAAATTATTTGCCATTCGAAATCGGTTAAGTGTAGGCCTAATAAATGGGAAATAATAATCGCTTTCACGAAAACTTCTTAGGTTGGACCGGAGAATGCTTTCGTTTAAAGGAAATTAATTTATATATAAGTTACCATTAAGAAACTAAACACGAATAGGTTAACGTCCCTGACCCGAATCGTCTTTCGATTTCGAATTGTTTCCGGATGACGGATGATAATTTTCCCGTTATCCGACGAAATTCCTCCCGGCTATCGTTTTAAAAAAGATTCTTAAAGTCACGCCGGGATGCGGGGGTCACGCGTAACTCGTAAATATTACGACAGCAAATTTGGAAGATGATTACGTTACGGCACGTCGTCGTATTACCCGCACCCATCTCTACCGGTTATTTTAAATTCGTCTTTGCCGCGAAAGGACGTAAGTTATAATAATAGGAGCAAGGTCAAATAAGAATAATTATTTACGTTTGTTTCTGGCGTACATCTACGTAAACTCCGGTATTAAAATATAAGGCTGTAATTTATTTTTTCGCTTTCCTAATACCAATAGGTACGAGCGTTGATTTTTGATATTTCTGGTATTTTTTACGTATCATTTAGATAACGAATTAAATGCGACATTCTTGCGAAAAGCGGAAAAAAAATATCAATTATTGGAAACATTTAGAGTGAAGTTATGTCCCGAATGGATGCACGAACGAGTAAATCATCTTGCAACTGTCGAGATCCTTCCGGGTTTCGAAATCATCCGACGGGTTGACAACCCTCCCTGGAGGAAAAACGCCGTAAACACCAGCCGGGCATTGTCGATTATCGCATTGTTCCCTTTCATCTGCATCTCGTTCGTTTAATGTCAATAACCCGACAATAAAGTAATAATCGTTCTTCGTACACGTAAACTATGCACAACTTTTGGTACTCCGGCCATTACGAAATTAATTAAAGAAACGACCAAATATATAAAATAACTTCTATCCGAGAGGGGGGGAAGTAAAAAAGTATCGGTCGCTCGGATCAAGGACACATTTACACGTCTTTCCGACGTCTATTCCCGTTAGACGGGACTCGACACACCCATTCTTCGTGCCACTAATTTGTCGGATACGTATCGAGAATACAGTCAACCCCCTCTAACAGTGTTGATTTTTCCGTTTTATATGAATTTCATGTTGTACGAGTCACTTAGATTTTATAGATACGTGTGCCGGGCTGTGAACGGCTTACGTATTTGTAAAATTCAAGTGACTCGTACAACGTGGAATTCATATAAAACGGAAAAATCAACACTGTTATAGGGGGGTCGATTGTGTATTCATCTTTCGTCCATTTTTAAATAACGTAAGAAGTTATTCGAGAGCTTTTATAATGGAAAAAGGAAAAAAAAACACCCGCAAATTTCGAGTCTATTAACGTTTCTTTCGCGAATAATTAAAGAGGGGGAGGAAATGGATTTGCGAACAAAACTTTATATTAAAATTTTAAAAATTAGAACCAAAGATTATTGCGAATAAAAGAAATTCCTTTCGAGATCGTCCGAGCATTTACACACGATTATTTAGAAAAAAGAAAAGAAAAGAAAAAAAACTACCTCACCTTCACAATGGTGGAAGTCTTAGATTTAAAGTAGGACAAATACTAACCAATGAAACTATTAGTAAGGCGGAGTTATCGAGAGGCCTATTGCAAACTTTGCTTCGGCAACTTTCTCTACTCGGAAAAAAAGGGTACCAAAATATAGGTTAAATCTAACTGGACATTAATTGCTCGTATAAAAGGTGACATCTGACAGACCTCACCATTTGCACCTGGATTCACTCGCCCAGGTAAGTCGTGCGATTTCTCCGACTTCTTCGCCTTGGCCCGTTAGTGCCGGACTAATTATTGGGATTTTTTTTTATTTTAGGTTCAAAATATGAAGCTACTTATTATCGCCCTTCTGGCCTTCGGTTCGTAAAACCATTTAATTAATTAGTTTTTTTTAAATAATTTGGTTAATTACGGCAAAACTTATTTATATTTTAAATTTCGTAGGGTCCGTCGTAACCGCGGAACACAGGGTAAGTCTCCGTTTTATATTAATTTCGAATATTTTAAATTATAATAATAAAATTGCGATTTTAAAATACAGTCGACTCCCTTATAACGCTGTTGATTATTCTGTTTTATATGAATTCCATGTTGTACGACTCACTTAGATTTTACAAATACGTGAGCCGTCGCAGCCCGGCACACGTATTTGTAAAATCTAAGTGACTCGTACAACATGGAATTCATATAAAACGGAATAATCAACAGTGTTATAGGGGTAGACTTGTACGTTAAACGTTTATAAAGTCGGAAAGTTTTGGTTTTATACGGGACCGCCAACGATGCCACAGTTTAGGTGGCGGGTGATGGATTACGAAGGAATTTGCGATTGGGAAGAAAAATCCGCGACTTCATTTTGAAATAATCGATAACATATGTTTTCTATAGACGATCCACCATATTTTCTTTCGATCCGTAGATTAAACGTCAGTTCCCCGGACCCAGAGAAGAGCGGGCGTACGAATATAACAGAGGTCGACAGGAAAAAGCCGCGGATCAACGACCTCCGGCAGAAAGGAGCTTCTTCCAACAAGACGACGGAGCTTACCAAGTGCCCAGACGACAATTCCAAGCTCAACCCGTCCAGCAATATTCTCAGTCGAGTAGACCTCGACAGCAATCTCCCTCGGCGCAACGTTACGCGCCGCCGCCACCCGCTCCCGCTCCGGTTCAACGGTATTCCCCCCCGCCGGCCCCACCCGCTCCGGCACCAGTTCAGCGGTACGCACCGGAACCGGCACCCGATCGGGCCCCCCCACCTGAACACAGAGCCCGTTCAGTTCAGTACGAAGAGAGTCCTCCTCCACCCAGACGCAAAGCGGACAACAGGCAATACAGAAAAGTAAGAGCGGCACGGTCAAAGGAAAATATCATTACTTTCCTCCCTCCATTTTGTTTTTTTATATCCTAAATATAACACGGATGGACGACCTCGTCGAAAGGACATCGTCGCGCTACCAAGTCCTTGATAACTTCCAGTCCAACGGGTTCTTCTCGGAATTGTTTCCTCCCGTAATTCTCGAAATAAACAATATAAAATTTACCTTTCGATGTCCCTTCGACGATCCTTCCTATCCGTATTTATTTATTAACATTTCGTAGATTAAATAATAAAAAAATTGTGGACATTTTTTTGTAGCCCTCCGGCAGCGCGCCTCAGCAACAACTGAACGGAGAATACCCGGAAGAGGAGGAGGAAGAAAAGCCCGACGCATTGAGTTTACTCCTTCAAAATTCGAAATTCACCTGTTCTTCTAGAAACGACGGTTATTACGCCGACAACAGCATCGATTGTCAAGTGTTCCATTATTGCGTGGGAGGAGCGCGTCATTCTTGGATGTGTCCGGCCGGCACGGTCTTCCACCAAGTTCATCTCAACTGCGTCCCCGCCAGTCAAGACATTTGTAAACAATCGGAAAAATTCCACTTCGTTAACGATTATCTTTATAAGGTAAGCGCGGTTCTTTTAAAATATATATATATATATATATTCCCATCGTCCATCGCACCGAAACTTAATTTTAAACTATATTTTTAGCCGTACCAAGGACCAAATAATACCATTTTATATCACGAAAAATACTATCCGGACGGATATTCCATCGGAGATCCCCTAGTCCCTCCTCAACAGCGAAACAAACAACAAGAACCTCGATACGAAGCGCAAGAAGAAAATTACGGCCCTCCTCCGGCTCAGCATCAACCTCAACCCAGACCACCGCCCAGACAGTCGGCACCTCCGCCTCAATACAAACCTCAACCTCCTCCTCCTCCACCTCCTCCTCGTTCCCAACCTTCGTACAGCGCTCCTCCCCCTCCTCGTCATCGAGCACCGGCTTACAACCCGCCACCCCCTCCTCCGCCCCCCAGATCCGCGCCTAAACCTCGCCCGTCCAGACCTTCGTACGAAGAACCTCCTCGATCGTACAGAGCGCGCCCCGCCGAAAATTTCGAAGAAGCGCCACCCAGGTATCGACCGGAAGGACACTACAGACCACCTGCCGACGTACCCAGAAGACCCTCTTCCTCTCGACAAGTCAGCAGCTACGGAAATTCGGCGGCCGTCCAGTACGACGACGAATATTAAGAGAGGGACTATTTTTTTTTTTAAAGGCCCGACGCCATTTTTAAAATCTACACCACCAACCGCGAGGCTTAAAACACGAGGCGAATTATGTTTTTAAATTATATCCATTGTAAATACTTCCCGAAAAATTGTTAATGACACGCGCCGAATCAATCAGGGAACCGTTTTTATCATTTTTATGGTTACGTCCATTAGCAATTTTTCTCTTCGTCTAACCATTAACGTAAATTCCTTCTTTACTCGCTAAAAAATTCTTGGTCAATGTTTACCTAGGTAGTCCAAGATGGCCGCACTTCTGGAATCACGTTCTAACTTAATCTAACCTATTCTAATAAATTAACAAAATTACTAATGTAAGATGTAAAATAACTCAAAAAAATTAATTATATGAAGAAAGGAAAATTTTGTTAATTTATTAGAATAGGTTAGGTTAGGTTAGAACGTGATTCCAGAAGTGCGGCCATCTTGGACTACCTAGGTAAACATTAACCAAATTCTTAAATCTACCGCAGTAGTTTATAAATAAATACTAACAAAACGCTCCTTTTTTTTTAAAGTATAAACCTCATTTTTAAGCCTTGTTAATAACAAAGAAAAAAAAACACTAGCAATGGGCTAGACGAAGACGTGTTAAAGATTCGAAATCGATCTGTGCCGGTTACAGTCTGCCTACGAAAAACTTGTAAAGATACAATAAAAGATTCTTTTTTAAACACATCTCGCTTATCATTAATCGATAAATAAACGACATTTAAGTAACGTCGTCGGCGGTGTTACGCCATTAATCTTAATCGCACCTCTTTATACGCGGTAAAAAATGTCGTCTTCGCTTTGTAATTTTGAATCGGTCGAATTGTACCGAACTAAACTTAGCCTAAGAGTGCTTTTTTACGGTGTCAGAAATGACAGGTCTACTTAAAGACGTTAAGGATATCTTCCGCCGCGACCTCTTTTACTCAAAAAAAAAACTCCACCCTTCAAACCGGCAACTTTTAAATTGGGTCATTGTTATTTCCGCATGAAAAGAACCCGTTTCTACCAAATATGTTAATTTGTTGTTTCGTTTGGAAATTACTTTTAACGTTGGAATGTCTGTCTGACCGTCGCCTAACATAACAACTCTTCTATTTTACATTACTCGTTTAAATAACAATGGCGAAAGTTACGAAATGACACTTTGATTTCGTTACAGTAAACTTTAATAATTTATCAAAAATAGAACGTGGTAGAGATATAACAATTTCGTATATCTTTGATAACACAGTACTGGTTTATATTGTCTTAGATTATTTACATATTTTCCAGTTTTAATTAAAAGATGTAATTAATGACAATGGAATCATCTCTAATACTGTTCCCAATGGCGTACATTTTCGTCTGGGAATGTTATTATTGTAGATTTTCGGAATTAAAAGGCAAAAATTCATCTAAACAGATGGAGAGAAATAAGACACGCCCTTATTATTTACTGATAATTCCATTTAAATGAATTTTTGCATTAAAATTTAAGATAATTTGGTGGTAAATGTCCTCTTTTTCTGGGAATTTTAATGTTTGTATTGTTTTCTTATACAGTATAATATCCTTTTTAGATTATAAAAATTTCATTTACAAAACTGAGCAATTGTAATATATCAATATATAATATTATATTGTACATAAATCACTAATAGAAAAATCTCTTATAAATTAAATATTAAAATTTCCTGAAAGATAATTGTAAAAATTAATGGGTATTTTGTTAAACAATAGGTATTATATATTGGTTGATGACACAGAGCCCGTTCAGTTCAGTACGAAGAGAGTCCTCCTCCACCCAGACGCAAAGCGGACAACAGGCAATACAGAAAAGTAAGAGCGGCAGGGTCAAAGGAAAATATCATTACTTTCCTCCCTCCATTTTTTTTTTATATCCTAAATATAACACGGATGGACGACCTCGTCGAAAGGACATCGTCGCGCTACCAAGTCCTTGATAACTTCCAGTCCAACGGGTTCTTCTCGGAATTGTTTCCTCCCGTAATTCTCGAAATAAACAATATAAAATTTACCTTTCGATGTCCCTTCGACGATCCTTCCTATCCGTATTTATTTATTAACATTTCGTAGATTAAATAATAAAAAAATTGTGGACATTTTTTTGTAGCCCTCCGGCAGCGCGCCTCAGCAACAACTGAACGGAGAATACCCGGAAGAGGAGGAGGAAGAAAAGCCCGACGCATTGAGTTTACTCCTTCAAAATTCGAAATTCACCTGTTCTTCTAGAAACGACGGTTATTACGCCGACAACAGCATCGATTGTCAAGTGTTCCATTATTGCGTGGGAGGAGCGCGTCATTCTTGGATGTGTCCGGCCGGCACGGTCTTCCACCAAGTTCATCTCAACTGCGTCCCCGCCAGTCAAGACATTTGTAAACAATCGGAAAAATTCCACTTCGTTAACGATTATCTTTATAAGGTAAGCGCGGTTCTTTTAAAATATATATATATATATATTCCCATCGTCCATCGCACCGAAACTTAATTTTAAACTATATTTTTAGCCGTACCAAGGACCAAATAATACCATTTTATATCACGAAAAATACTATCCGGACGGATATTCCATCGGAGATCCCCTAGTCCCTCCTCAACAGCGAAACAAACAACAAGAACCTCGATACGAAGCGCAAGAAGAAAATTACGGCCCTCCTCCGGCTCAGCATCAACCTCAACCCAGACCACCGCCCAGACAGTCGGCACCTCCGCCTCAATACAAACCTCAACCTCCTCCTCCTCCACCTCCTCCTCGTTCCCAACCTTCGTACAGCGCTCCTCCCCCTCCTCGTCATCGAGCACCGGCTTACAACCCGCCACCCCCTCCTCCGCCCCCCAGATCCGCGCCTAAACCTCGCCCGTCCAGACCTTCGTACGAAGAACCTCCTCGATCGTACAGAGCGCGCCCCGCCGAAAATTTCGAAGAAGCGCCACCCAGGTATCGACCGGAAGGACACTACAGACCACCTGCCGACGTACCCAGAAGACCCTCTTCCTCTCGACAAGTCAGCAGCTACGGAAATTCGGCGGCCGTCCAGTACGACGACGAATATTAAGAGAGGGACTATTTTTTTTTTTAAAGGCCCGACGCCATTTTTAAAATCTACACCACCAACCGCGAGGCTTAAAACACGAGGCGAATTATGTTTTTAAATTATATCCATTGTAAATACTTCCCGAAAAATTGTTAATGACACGCGCCGAATCAATCAGGGAACCGTTTTTATCATTTTTATGGTTACGTCCATTAGCAATTTTTCTCTTCGTCTAACCATTAACGTAAATTCCTTCTTTACTCGCTAAAAAATTCTTGGTCAATGTTTACCTAGGTAGTCCAAGATGGCCGCACTTCTGGAATCACGTTCTAACTTAATCTAACCTATTCTAATAAATTAACAAAATTACTAATGTAAGATGTAAAATAACTCAAAAAAATTAATTATATGAAGAAAGGAAAATTTTGTTAATTTATTAGAATAGGTTAGGTTAGGTTAGAACGTGATTCCAGAAGTGCGGCCATCTTGGACTACCTAGGTAAACATTAACCGCTTTGACTTAATGTTTTGCTTTTTAAATATATTCGACAGCAGAAAAATAGCAAGATTAGTGGAAAGCGCTCCATCAGTTCCAATTTTTTGAATTTGGCGCGCGCGAAAGATGTTCGGAAACGAGACGAATTCCGTCTTTTCCTCGGCAATAAATACACAGAATTTGATAAAAATTAAAATAATAAAATACTACAACGGATAAAAGAATTATATCATCGCGCCTCGTATAAGTAGACGACGTTTGTTTAATTAGGAAAATTAGGATTTTCACAATTTCATTTATTCATTTTAATTAACTCGTTAAATGACGTAGCGATACTGCCGATATAATAATAAATTTATACGTAGACAGTGNCGTCCCCGAAAGCCTGCTGAATCTTGCGAATGGTTTACACTCGGGTATCGCCAAGGTTTTTGGCAAAATTTGATGTAATATCGCTGCTCACACTGTTCAGTCATTTTCCAGCTTAGTGGAATCCGACGAGAGCGCACTACATGACCTCACTCATAGGCCTATTGCCAACGACTGACGCTTCCTGCAGGCGGGAAAAAATTCAGGGCTGTGCATGACTGTCCCCTCCACAACTTCACCGAAGGAGGCCTCTCGCGCATCATTGGTTTACGCGAAAAAAATAAAGGTCCGATACTTTTTGAACAGACCTTGTATTTATCAGCATATAAGATGCACCTCATTTTCAGACAATATTTTTTAGGAAAAAAGCGTATCTTATACACTGGCAAATACGATAATCCACGACAACTTTCCACGCAAATATTGAATAAAACTGACAAAATAGAGAGGTTGCGTCCGACATTTTCATCACAAAAATGTGTAGATAAGTTCGGCACCGCCTTCCTGTAAGCCTAGAAGTTTGACAATGGCATTTGGAACGTCAGTGGAATCATGCTTGATGTTCCAAATGCCATTGTCAAACTTCTAGGCTTACGGGAAGGTGGTGCCGAACGTCTGACGTACACGTTTTTGCGATGAAAATGTCAGCCACAACCTCTCTAATAACTCCAAAAATGTTGCAAATTAAAACTTATTTGACTTTAGGAACTCATTTAAAAGTTCTATTGTATTCTTTTAAAAGCAATTTATACTTTTACTTATCAGTCATTTAACATTTGCACAGTATCAAATAGCAATAAGTTAGAAGGTTTTCAAATAAATACTTTAAAAATAATTTCTCAACACAATCTATACCTAGAACAATTGGCAAATTTTCTAGCAACTCTTACATATATTTTTATAAACAAACAACAACATTACAACCCAATATATTATAAACTACAAGCCAACCAATGCCATTATGTTATCGGGCTAGATAAACTGTTTCATAATTTATTAGTATTATATCCGATATATAGCCCGATAACATGCGGCATGGGTTGGCTCATAGTTTATATATTTTTATATACAAACACACATAATTATGCACCAGAAATTCTGATAGTAGTCTAAGTCATTTTTCATTTGGAGATAAATTTTTTGACAGACTGCTTTCATAATCACCAGCACATATAAAAATTATAAAACTCACAATAAACAATATGTAAACAAAAAAATTAATTTTTAAAATTTTAATTAAAACTTACAAAACATATTGTGATAATATTATCTTTGAATTCATTAAAACTTTTTTTTGGTGGTTTTCCTTCCAACAATCCAACAGAAAGGAAAATAACTAGAATCAAAGGTGGTCCTATTGCCATTTCGCAACCCAATTTTTTGGCAACGGTCGATGTCTTTGCTCCTGGAAATCTGCGATCTAAAAACGAATACCATAGATGACCTAATGGCCCAAAAACCAAGCCACCACCCATCATATTTCCTGAAATAAACAATTTTTTTATATTATTATGTTTTACTTTAAAATATGCAATGATGTATAAATTTAACAACAGAAATCATTACTAAAAACTTCAGTTCTAGACTATAATATTGAATTAAGAACAAATTCAGCTGGATAGATACAATAACAAAAGCAGTCATTATGGATAATAAGGTTAATACAGTCAAAAATATTTATTCTTCAAAAAAGTATCTACTACAATTGAATTTTTTAAGACTTAAATAAACTTTAAATGTCTTAATCTACACTCAAATTTGCATAAATGGAAATATATACATAAAATCTGTCTTGTGGTTGTTATTTAATTCAGAAACAAATTAATAAGTAAAAATCTAAATTTTTCACAAGTATTTTCAATAACATTACAGTATGGATGGTTGGGCTTTTGGAACATATTAATAGAGCAATGAGATTTTTAAATTTATGATATTTTTCATATATAAATTAAAACATATCATCATCTATAGAGATAATATAATACTTAAACAAACTTTAGAAATTACAACCATATTCAGAAAGTTCTTTTTTCAATAAAACTCAAAAGATTTTCCCAGATATTGCGATCTTATACCATATCTGTATTTAGAATTAATCACCCTTTTGTTTTCTGTTTACGGGTATACGTTTATTTCCACCTCTCGGCAGAATTCATGCTTTTTTTTAATTCATTGACACTGAGCATCTGGTAACATAAAAAGAGAAGGACAGGGAAAAATGATGGAGGAATGTCTGCTACTGAAAACAAACTATATATAAAGAAGAGAAAGAAACAAGAAAAAGGAAACAAAGGGAGAACTGGAGAACTCTTGGAAACTATAATTTATCATAATTCAATGCCTTGATTTGCCTTTACTATTATCTCTTTGGTTTTGTGTATTCTAAGTAGAATCCAGTTCAACCATGTTGGTAAAACATTGCTATTAGAAAGGAAGGACTCTATCCAAACTCTAAAATTCATTTGTTAATAATGTCAATATTTACACAGTGTTTAGTAAGCTATTGATTGTCAGTACTATTTTGGTTTGGGCCCGAGATTATAACAACAATTAAAATTTACATACTCATATATATATTTGTATATATTGTAATAGATTTGTAATATATTCCTTTTTTTTTAATGTATTTGTCAATTACAACTTAATAAACATATTCTCCTATTGTGCCTCCATGTACATTGTTTTTATGTTCTTTGTCACAGAGTTGCACTTACACTAGTATCCACCCCACTCTTCTAGCCTCAATTAGTAAGTGCTTTTACACAACATTTAATAAGGGAAGTCTAATGTTCCGTAAAGGTTAGGGTAATTAATTATATGACTTTTTTTTAATCAATATTTATGTTGTTTTCTAAATGAATATTTTCTGGCAGTTGCATCTTAGTTCATATTGAATCCAAATCCTAACTTTGTAGTTAACATCACAAACTAAAATTCTAATAAACATTCCTAAAAAAGACATTATTCAGTATGATAATTGATCAAAAATACATAAAAGTTTTTGATGCTGCTGACAAATTCAAACTGCAAAATTATTTTGCAATCCACAATTGAGTATTTTCTTTCTAAAGAAAAAAAAAAAAAAACAATTGATTTTGTTTAGTCTCCTATTTTCAATTTCAAATGAGCAGCCAATCTTGTAATTTGGCCAAATAAATAAATTACATTTGAAAATGTATAAAGTTTAATATATCATTAGACCAATTTGTTATGACATCCATGCTAATTTAAAGGTTTGATGGATAATTGAAATGAATTCAGAAAACTAATCAGTCGAATCTTTTGGAAAATCTGATTTTAAATAATAACAAAGGCATAGTTTTAAATGTCTCTTATTTTGTAATTAATAACCGTTATAATTTCATACATTAACAAACGCAATACTGTAATAGAAGAATCGGTATATTTATTTACTCAAAATCATTCTCAAATAATCGTTCTAAAGAACAGTAAATAATTTTATAAATAACTAAGATTTTTCTCGTGTACGTCTAAAACAGCCTCGAGCGTAAAGTACGCCCCAACTTAAGACGTTAAAAACGATTTTTTATTCGAAAATGCAAGCACTTTCCACAGCTTACAACTATCCTGGTTGGGCCAATTTGATTTTGAATTATTCAAACGAGACTTTTCGTAGTTTCGTACAGAACAAGAACGCAACGGGAAATTTCGTAAACGCTCCGGTCGCGCGTCCACGGAATGTACGAAAAGTTATTTAATTTTCGAACAAAATTATTTAACACCGTAAAACTGCCGGCGAGTACTTAACACCATAACTACTTTGGCACGAAGCGTATTTCATTTTGTTTTATCACGAATAGTCCTGGGCCAAGCAGTCTCCATTCCCCGAATACCAGGAGTTCGGTCGTGGGTTCGTGCCTTGCTTGAACGGGCCAGCCACATGGAGTTTTTCGGGTTTTCTCCTCGTCCGTAATGCCCAAATAGGGGCCGGTTTCCCTTAAAAAGACTTCCCGGAAGGCATCCTCCTAGGCAGATTGCCCAAGTGTTGCATTGCCATAACTAAACCAAACAAACAGCCTGGCAATTTGATAAAGTGGGAAAGTGATACTTGGGTTCTTTTACCTATATTGTTTAATTATTTTGCAGAACAGTTAATAACAATGTATATGTCATTTTTATTTGATTTAATTGTAAAAATATAATATAATAATTTAAAAACATAGAATGAGACATTTAAATTAAAAACCATTATCTACGAAACTAATTTTAAAAAATAATTCTAACTTGAAAATCATATGTATGACGGAAATTAACTGGTTGCGTCATCTATTGTGATAAAATCATACTACTTTTTAAAAATTAAAATAATTGCAATAAAGCTTGACACAGAACCTCGGGAGATTCAGTGTGAAGCTTTGTGAGATTCAACATTCAATCTTTACTTCCTCCCTCCGACGGCCAAATTTTAAATCACTATAATGCATTTAAAGGATATTTACTGGTTCTCGTCTTATCGAAAGGTTTTTCTTCTCCCAACTTTTTCTCCAAAACTTGCTGAATGGCATCGCCGGCCCCCATAAAGCCGACAGCAATAGCCGTATTAGTCAATAATAAATGGCGTGTGAATAGTTTATTGACTGTTCTCTTTAAATAATTAATCATCGCCATTGTTCTTTACTTTTATTTCCTTTTCGCGACGAATTCACAGACAGGCACTCTACACGTGATTACACATACCCAACCCATAGTCAACAAGTACGATAAGTCTATCGTGCAATAGCGATAACCTATAAGCGATGTTTTTGAAGCTAGATAAAAATGACAAGTTTTAATAAAATAATAACAATTTATTTTTTTCATTATTTTAATTTTTAATATTTTAATTATAAAAATATCAAAATACAATTAATTTAATTTTTAACGCAAACAAGCTGGAATTTTTGCAGATGGCAACACTTATCTGACTGGAAAGTAAAATGGCTGCCCCAGTCACGTTATGATTTTATATTGGATAAACCAAGTTCGATAAAAGGTAAGATACTTTATAAGTCGTTTATATCATAGTAGGTATTAATTTAATTTTTATAAATCTGAATTTAAGTTCGTTCGGGTTTAAATGATTAATTTAGGATTAATAAACAGATTTACGTGTCATTAAGTGTGATGATTTCAATATCTAGCCTTGCATTGACTATTTTGCTGGTAAAAGAGGGTCTTCGATTCTGGGGATGGCAAATCCCACGTCTGGATTTTACATCTTACCGAGTGGAATATATACAGCATTACAATCTTGCGTTTAACACTGTGTTTATCAGTATCAAGTTAGCTCCAAATGTGTTTTTCTTTTTATTTTAGGAATTCTTTTAGAAATGAAGCGCACGTGGACACCCAGGTGTCACATAGTCATTCTACAGGAGGAACTATGTGATCCACTAATATGTATTAGCCTTTCATCTAGCATTTGCAAAAAATCATTTTTGTAAACTATCCTTTTACACCTAAAAAAACCATGGCACCATTACTAAAAGCAGCCTAAAAATAATTCAGGTACTTTCCGGTTAGCAGTGCACCTGTCAATTGATGTGACCCAACTTGCGTGTATTAGGTTGATAATTGGTTCGGAGAGATTTCCCAAATGGGTAGGTTAGGGTTTAGGTTTAGTTTTTTTTAGGTTTACGTTAGAGTTAGCTTGCATCAATTGACTGGCGCCATGCTAACCGATAAGTACCGAAATTCATTCGCTCCTTTTATTAATAAATACAAAGTTTATGAATAGTCCTAAGCACATCTGTTCCCTAGTTGCAGCTTGTTGCTACATATTGTCACATGAAATCAAATTAATTCAGATTCATATAATTCACCATTGCCAATATTTTTAACTTTAAGATAGTTCCTTCCCACTTTGTTAATTGCATATTATTATATGGAAGAATCTCATTTTAACTGATTGCTTGGACTGCCGAAAATTATCTGTTGTTCTGACAATCTACTATATTGTTAATGATGGATTTTTCGCACACCCGGGAAAATATCTGTTATTAAAAAAATTTTCATTTTTCAACCCCTATATACAAGAAATACCAGTACTTGAAATTATTCAGTCTATTGAGATCTCTATTCTATATCCTATAGAAACATTTATGTTTGTAACATATGTGTATATTATGCCGTACATCTGTACGACAAAGCTGACAAAAACTGTACATACTGTAAGCATAAAAAGAGACAAATTATATATTCTCATTAGCACTTTGTTTGACTTTATGATTTGTTAAAAAACTCGTCTGTCTTGATTTCTTTTGGTGCCACTTTTCTGTCTATTGGATATACCACTGCTTGATATTAGTGGTATTGTGTACTGTACAGTACAACCTGTTCATATATGCTTAAACTCGTTGGTAAGATCTTCGCAACTTGGAAATATTCAATTATTTTGGCACTACACTTGGACCGGTGACAGTGTTCACCAGGGGACTCTCCCCAATCATATCATTTGGCTGACTCTGTACAATTCTTCAATTGTACATATCCCAAATGTAACATCATCATCAAACTCTACAAATTTCCAGAAAACCCACATATTAACTAAACATTGAAAAAACATGAAATTTACAATAGATTTGGGGTAGAAAAAAATCTGTTATTCCAAGTAACGGATCCACTGAAACAACATAAAATTACATTGATTTGGCAGGACCTGGAAAAAAATTTATTATTTCGAGAAATCCATTGTTCTGCGATCTGTTAAAACGAGATTCTATTGTATTGTGAAAGTCACAAATAAAGTAAAATAAAGAGAATTGAAAAAATTGTAGACCTATAAATTCCCGTTGTCATCCGTCTGGCTTTCCTTAATCGTGAGAACAGAAATAGATAGATGAAATTCAAGACCAGACATGGAAACATTTGGGGCAAAGAGACCCTGATTGACTATATAGGAACTTTGGGTTTGTACCAGATGTCATGTTATTTCAATTCAAAAATTTTTTTCTGAAATCAGTTAACAGACGATTGGCACGACTCTATTGTTAAAGGAAAAGTATGATGTACAGGGGCAAGATACTACTAATAAAAACACAGTAATCTAAGATTCAAAATCAAATTTTATTGAATTTAACAAGAAACTTTTTATGCATAAAATACTTACTCAATTAATAATAATTATAATAAGAAAAAGAGAAGAGAATTATCATCATCATTTACTATTTTTGTAATTATTGTTAAAAGCACATCATTCAAAAATAAAAAAAATTAAATTTTCTTTCAAAATTAACCAAATTGATCATTGTTTTGGTGATTGCTATCCTAGCCAATTTTTTATTAGATTTGTCACAACAGTTAAACACAGAAGGCATCTTACTCTGTCTTTGTCTAACTGTTGTGACAAAACTAGTAAAAAATTGGATAGAATAGCCAATCACCAAAACAATAATGGATTCTACTAGATACAAAACAAACAATAATAACAAATTGATTATTTTGAACTTTACAATTACATATTTTGTTAATGTTTGTTACATTAAAACAAAAATTTACTTATTACTGCTTGAATGGTAACTTAAAGGAATGCTACACTTACTTTACGTCACTCAGAATAAAAATTCACATCTAAAAGGAATCACAAAACGAACCTTTGATCTGTGCATTTATATATTAGGCCACACACAAAAATCACATCTACAGATTTCTTTCTTATGTGTTCATTTTGGCTTTTAATACACTTAAAATAACTATGTTGTACGATCCAAAAATTCGGGGACTGCAGTAATGTATGACAACAAAAGCATGTACAATAGACCCCCCTATAATGCGTAGATACGTTCCTCGTTATATGAATTTTGCGTTGTAGGAATCCTTAAATACACGAGCCAATCGCAACTCGACACGTGTGAAGTTTAGGGACTACGGCTGTTTGAAAGGTTTTCTTCCATAAAGTTAATCGATTCTAGACTAATTCGACTTAACATTTCCAAAACACACATAATTTTTTTGGGAATAATCCGTATAAACTATGCTATAAACAAAAAATTGTAGGATTACTTACCAAGTGTGCACCGTTTGACGTCACCATTGCTTAAGCTTGTTTTCGTTGTGGAGCAGTGCACCAAACGGCGGCTGCGATTTCTGATGTTATTTTTATGCAAAAACTTTGTTGAACTTTGGAGACATCATTAATAGAAATAATTTTTATGGCCATTGAATAAGAAATGTTTCTTTCACAAGAAATGTTTCTTTCACTGTATTAGACTTACGGTACCTAATTTACATACTGTACAGATGATAGTAAACTCAACTTACTCGCCTAAACTCTCCATAGCGTGGCGCTGGACGGCGGAAAGTATATATATAATTATAATAAAGTTAAAATAAATTAAGGTAATATATAATTATATGTACAGTACCTAATTTATATATAATACTGTACAGACGTTAGTAAATTCAACTTACTCGCCTAAACTCTCCGTAGCATGGCGCTGGACGGCAGAAAGTAGTTCGGCTGCTCGTCCAGGATGACGTTTTACGCGTCCCTTTTAGCGTCTTTATACGAATATTGTCGCAATTTTTTTGCCGCGTTATAGGAATCTCTGTTATAGGAACCCGCGTTATAGGGGGTCTACTGTATTTAAAGTTACAGCGTATGAAATTGATTCTATCAAACCTTTCCTACGTGTTCAGGTTGGTTTTGCCCATGTCACATGATTAAACTGCGAGTGCTATTGTTTTCTTTTGGAGATAGTTACCTTTGTTTTGTGACATAATAAAAATGGAGTTTCAAGAACAGCACTGCAACATTAAATTTTGTCAGCGTTTAGGTAAAACACCTACAGAGACTTTAAAATTGCTAAGAAAGGTGTACGGTGATTTTACCATGGTGAAATGGAAGGTGTACAAATGGCATCGGCGTTTTAAAGAGGGCCAAGAATCCATCGCAGACGACGAACACTCTGGCCGACCTTCGACTTCATGCAAGGAGGAAAATGTTGAGTTGGTCTCTCAATGTGTTTGCAAAGATCATCACCAAACCCTTGAAAAAATTGCTGCGGCTACTCACTTATCAAAGACTAGTTGCCAGTGTATTTTAACGGAAGATCTTAACATGCACCAAGCAAAGGAAAAGTCATGATAAAGGTGTTTTTTGATTCTCAAGGAATTGTTCATTCAGAATTTATTCCCGAAGGCAGAACAGTAAACAAGGAGCATTATCTAGACATTTTATGTCATTTGAGGGAATCCATTCATTGTAAACGGCCACAAATATGGCAAAGTAGAGACTGGTACCTTCTGCATGACAACGCACCAGCACATAGGTCCCAAATGGTCACACAGTTTGTTGCCAAAACTCAAATTAATGTGCTTCCACACCCTGCCTATTCACCCTGTGTGATTTTTATTTGTTTCCATCAATGAAAAAGCATTTGCAGGGACACCATTTTGTGTCATCAGATGAGATGAGAGCAGCATCACAGGAGTCCTTATGGGAGGTTTCAAAAAATGGCTTCCAGCAGTGCTTCCATAAGTTATACGAGCTCTGGCAAAAGTGTATCGTTGCCCAAGGTGATTACTTTAAAGGTGGTTATGTACCGGCAATATAAACTTTTTAAGGTAAGAAATTTAAGCCACATCCCCGAACTTTTGGATCGTACTACGTATATTTTATTACTGTTTTTGAAAAAGACTTTGAGAATCTAATATATCATATTCCTGCAGAATATAAAATACATCTTACTTGTGCATAAATGAATGGAAAATAAAGACAAAAACATTAGTCTACTCAACGGTACATCTAACTTGAAATGATGAACTGATGTGCAAGTTTGCATATTGACAGGTAACAGTGAATTATTTCTAATATAAGCCTTTTACTAAACATAAGTAATTTTGAGATTAAATATAAAATAATAAACTGCTGGACAGAATTATCACATCTGTGCTGTAAATTGAAATTCTATTACTGGAAATGAGCAGTGAACTATATAAACATACTGAAATATCTGACAAAAAATAAAATATTTAAATATGGCATTTAATACAACCATAATATAGAATATAATATTCTTAAAAAGCACATGGTCATAAAATATCATTATTAAAACATTATGACTTCCATATTTTTAGTTCATTTCTTACATTTTACATAATAAAGTTAAATGAGAGCAATATTTAACTGTTTTGTCAATTATTAAAATTTAGTTTTAACAGTGTAAACTAATTTCTTAAAAATCTTAATTTTCTTTTTCAGATAATATATAATGGGGAAAAAGAAGAAAGGAAGTCAAAATTTTAATTCCTCCAAGAATATCTCAAAAAATAGAAAACCAAATCCATTTGAACTGAAAGTAAACAGAGAAAAGCACGATGTTTTAGGGCGTAAAAAACGCAGTCAGATTGGCATACGTGGTGCTTCCAAACGTATGGGTATTCAGAAAAGAAAAAATACTCTTATGAAAGAATATTTATCAAGAAAAAAATGTAACAATTTTTTGGATAGAAGGATTAATAATGAAAATAAAGATATGTCATATAAACCATTCAAGAAATTACGTCTAAAAAAATCTTTGTTTAATCTTAACGATGATGAAGAATTGACTCATCTTGGTCAAAATATATCAGAAATGGAAACACTTGACAAATTTATGGATTCCGATGACGACGACAACGATAAATTACAAGACGATTTTGTTCAAGCAGCTCATTTTGGAGGATTTTTGACCGAAAAGAAAAAAGACGAAGAAGTTAAATCACGTAAAGAATTAATTCAAGAAATCATTGCAGAAAGTAAAAGAAAGAAGTACGAAAAACAAACCGAGCGAGAGAACACAATTGAAATAACTGAAAAATTAGATGCCGATTGGAAGAATTTTCAGCATTTAATATCTAAAATGAAACAAAAAACACCCGAAGAACAAAAAACATTAAACTCTTATGACTTACTTGTGAATGAATTAAAGTTTGATATTAAAGGAAAAGCCTCCGACCCATTAAAAACCTCAGAACAACTAGAACTTGAAAAGAAAAACAAGTTAAGAAAATTAGAAATGGAACGTTTGTCAAGAATGAAAGGATCTCTTCCAGATGATTTTGATAAATCAAAATATTTTTCTGCTGACAGCATCACTACACCATCCTTTAAAAAGCAAAAAATAGGAAGTGTGGAAATAACTTCTCCAGTTGAAGTAAATACAGATGATGTTTCTGAAAATGGAAGTACAGATGAATGTATTAAGAATGTGTCAAATAATAATAATATAGTTATTCCTTTAACATTGAGTGACTTTTTGGAAACAGTATCTGGGAAAGACAATTTATCTTCTGTTTTAAAAGAAATTGTTTCGAATTTAAAGTGCGTCAGTAACTTGAATAAATATGAAATGTTTTTTAAAGTTTTATTGGAATATACTTGTGACATTGCAGATAATGGAAATTTGAATCTACTCGATACCTTAATCCCATATTTATATGAATTAGCAGAATTATCACCAATTGGAATAACAAGACATATTATATCTGTTTTAAAAAGTATTGAAGAGAATTTTCAAGAAGTTTGTGAGAGAAAAACCACTAAATTTGTTAAATTTCCAAAATTTAGTACAATAATATTTTTAAAGCTTTGCGATATACTATATCCAGCTTCTGATTTTTGTCATCCAGTTACGACTCCGGCAACAATTCTTTTAATGAGATTTCTAGGAGAATGTCGCATTAAATCGGTCCAAGAAGTTTTCTACGGACTCTTTGTTTGTAACGTTGCTCTAGAATACGTATCCTTTTCAAAGAGATTTTTACCCGAAGTATTATATTTTCTACTAAAGCTGATATTTTCTACTTCTTCTAAAGAGACATATCCAAATGCATTTAAATTTACAAAATTTGATTTGAATTTATCGAGTTCAATTGTCGACGATATACCAAAATTGAAATTATCAGACGTTAGAAAATTTACAAAAGAAGTTGACGACTGTTTGAAAGTGCAAATAATTAATTCCATAGTTGATCTAACTACAAAATTTTTAACATTATATAGTGAATATCCATCTGGTTTAGAATTGTTTTCTACAATTAAAAATTTTAAACTGTTACAAGACACACAGTATTATCCGGAATATTTAATTAAAAAAATTGAAAGATTAATAACGTTATCTCAATGGACACAAAACAAACAACTTCTAAAACAAAAGAAACAACCTACAAAATGTTTAAGATTCTTAGAACCCAGAATAGAAGATAAATTTGAAGGAAGAAAACAACATAAAGGTAGTAAAAGTAAATTAGAAAAGGAAAAATTAAGATATCAATATAAGAGGGAACTCAAAGGTGCAGTTAAAGAGATAAGAAGTGACAATTACTTTTTAGCAAATCTTAAATTGAACGAAGAATTGGAAAGAGATGCCGAAAGGAAACAGAAAGTTAAAGAACTGTATAGAGAATTAGCAATGCAAGAGAGCGATTTTAAAGCAATTAAAAAGAAAAAGAATCGCTAATTGTGTTAAACGTTGTTAATAAATGTTTTATTAAAATATCTTCAAAAGTCTTTTTATTAAATAATGCAAATCATTTGTAATAAGTCATTTGACAAGATTTTTTTTAAACCTAACCTTTAAAAATAATAGTATCATAGAGGACAATATGCACATAATGTTTTACAAGTTACATTGCAAACAAAATTTTAGCAATTTTTAATACAGTTGACTATTGATAACTGTTTCTTTTTACGTAAATAACTTACAACCAATGAATTCCTTACAACTAAATATTTAACAAACCTAATATGTCGAATGTGAGGAAACAATTCCTGATCGTGTGACTGATAAATTTTAGTTCTTATTACTCATTTTGACAAAGTAAAATAGTTATATTTTAATATTAATGCTTAGACATATATAATGGTTTTAAGTAATGATGTGTTTTACAACTCGATCCCGGGTCCCGCAGTGGTAGGATCTAACCATTCGTCCGTCTACCTCGATCGGAACCTCGTAGATGTCAATAAAATAATTCTATATCGAAATCTTTCGATGGAAACCGGACGGGTCGAAAAGATGAATTTTTGGGAGACGATCCGTCCATTCGGCCGCCCTATTAAGAGCTGGGTAAACCCATAATGGGCTTGCTAAAAGGCTCTCAGTGCAGAAAGTTTTTTAAAAAAATAATACTGTATATATCGAGTTGTGAGAAAAGACAAATTTATAACTCAAAGCGTGGTCTTTTAACCTCCCTCGCGGGGTGAATTTCCAAAAATCCCTTCTTAGTGTATATTCTTATGGCGTATTCTATGTACGAATTTCAACTTTCCTCTTAACAGTTTGGGCTCTGCCCTTATCATCCCATCTCGATTATATTTTATGATTCTATTATCAAAATGTTTGCATAATAGAAAAGTCATTTTATGGGAAGTCTGAATAGAAATGATAAAGGGTTTATTTACCAAAAGGGGAAATCGCGAATTTTAAATTTAAGAAAAGCTTTCGAAAATAAAGTTCAATTCATTGAGGGTAATTTTTCTTTATTCGACTAATTAATTCTTTTAATTTAATCATTGTCCAGAAAAGGTTTTCTATTAGAAGATATTGGATAAAGATTATTTGTCATAAATTAAGAATAAAAATATAAAACTATGCTGTCGTCTAAAGTTTTACACGTGTAACAAACATCGAGTTCAATTAAAATTACAGGTTTTATTTCACTTTAAAGAAGAAATAATAAATTTCTATTAATGTTGACGATAAACTGGAAAAAAACTCCAAAAAATTTTTTAAACAAATGCAAAGAAATTGTATACGTAAATAAAATTGTTTTTTTAATAAAAAAACGAAAAAATTTCTAATCTTCGTATTCACTAGTTTCTCTTTCAGAATCGGTTGCAGATAGAATCCGGATAGCGGGAAATTCTTGAACTGGTGACCGAATAAGGTTGCATTGTATTCCTACATCTCTTCTCGATTGAGCTAGCAAAACTTTTTAAAGCAAAAATAAAGTTAATATCATTATTTTTGAATTAAAAAAAAAGAAGGAAAAAAAGAACATTACCTTTGTTTAGTTCATTTTCAACATCCATCATAATATTTTCGGCTCCGCAAACGAATTCTTCCATATATTCTTCATTTACGTCTAGTTCTTTATTAACTTCGTCCATAATTTCTTCAATTATCGTATTGTCATCTACATTATCGGAAATCATTTTATTGGGTGATGCGGAGTGCAACTTATTTTCCAATTCTTGTAATCTCTTAACGATGCGTTTTACTTTTCTAGCAGCGGATAATCTCGATTTCTTAAGATTTTGAAGTTTCTTTTCCTTGTCTTCCTCCGACAACTTACTAAAACTGTATTTAGAATCTGCAGCCGTTCTTTTAGAGTCGGAACTCTCTCCTTCGATCGCTCTTCTCTTATGCCAAGCCCTAACATTAGTCAAGCATTTCGAACATTTCGGGCACATCTTGTAGACTTGTCTCTGCCAGGCTTTCGGTGGTAGACTTTGCCTTTTAGTATTTTCTCGCTTATACCAAACGTAACAGTCTTTAGAATGATATCTAACAAAGGGAATCTGTTTCAGAACGAGATTTGGATAGTTACCGACTTCGTCTCGAGATATTCCAGGACAGAATAAATATTCCGAAGATAATTCGCAAATCAATTCTCGTAGTTTTTCGACGTTTTCTGTTACTAAACTTTTTACTTCCTCGTCAAAAATGTAAAGTTTAGCTTCTCCCGTCCAACTAATTACCACTTTACCCGGTAAAATGGGTCTAGTTAAGTCTTCGGGAGGAAAGTAAACATCGTGCACATTCTGAATGATAGCGTAATGGTGTACAAGTTTATCATCTGAAAAAGAAAAGAAGAAAAGTATAATAATCTGAAGGAAAAATTAGTTAATTTCTTTTACGTAATTTTAACCTTTTTGCTCCTGCACTTCGGGTGATTTTGATCTTCTGCCTTTTTTCCTTTCGATAGGTTTTGCAGGCGGTCCTACGATGTTGCAACAAACACCGCTTAACTGTTGGCATACGAATTGAACGGCAGATAATAAATTAGAAGACAAAGTAACTTCCATTGTTAAAACAATAATAATCGGAGATGGGCTAAACTTCTTTAGAATTTATCTTCTTTGCCCAAAAAACAAAGCTCAATTCGTTAATTCGACTCGTTCTTGGGCTAAATGAATTATAGAGGCGACGTGCCAATGACGTAAAACGAAATGTTAACAGTTAATATGCAAATTAACGTTTTTTTTTTAAATAATAAAATAATATAAACAGTTTAAATCTTTAATTTTTTTTTGTTTCTAAAATGAATTTAAAATTCAAACGGAAATAAAATGATCAAAATATAGAAGAGTAAGAAATTATTTAAGTCACTGTTCATTTTACTTCGATATTTATAGGATCGAAAAGATCGTGTTTTCGGATTTATGTTCGGAACAAAAATTAATAAAAATAAAACAATACTGTATTATCAAATTTTCTTCATTTATCTGTTTATTCATTAATGCAATATACAATATTATAAACTGTTTGAATATGACCATGCTCGTACAAAAAATCTATTAATACAGTAATGCCTTTTGTCAGACTGTGTCGATGGTCAGTGAGAATGTTTTTATACAATGAAAAAGTTCTCTTGGCCTCGAACGTAGTCACAGTATAGTATTTCAACGAATGTACATTAGTAAACTCTACATCTTCGGAGATCTCCAACGAAACAGCTAATAACCTGGCGAAGGGCAGAAAAACCACTGTTCTTCTTCAAAAGAGCCGCCTGCTTCGTGCGAAGTTTGCCTTCATATAAAGCGGGAAGGTTTTGCATAGAATCTTCTAATGTTTGAAAAGTTTTTAGAGATTCTTTAAGTGACAACCCTCTCGCTTTGGAAAAGGGTGGCAAAGGAATATCTGGCAGACGCTCACGATGTATAGCAGTTCGTATTATGTCTTTGCAAGTAGTTTCTCGCCGGAACAAATGAGGGCGTTTACATTTTAAAAATGTAAACGAACTTGTTCGGCCAGAAGATGTAAAGCGTGATTCAGGCTATATAAAAAGTTCTCGTCATGCTTACAGACTGCAGTCTTCTGTAAGCACAACGTAACTTTATTTATACGACAACATTACACATTCCCGAATAACTCTCGCTATTGCTTCTGTATTCGTCCTCTCCAGAAATTTACATAAAAGATGCCAAATTTTAGCGTAGTCTTTTCTGTCAAGTTTTCGTACTACCATTAAAGCAACATATCGTCCGCACGCGTCTATAGTTTCATCTACAGCAAACCGTATAGCATTGTTACTAATTTCTTTGCTGATTTCTTCAAGCGCACAAATTCATTTTGATATCGATTTGACCTCGCAAAATACTTTTGAGCTATCCACTGTAAAGTCTCACCCGGCTAACTTCGCTTCCCTCACCCACTTCAGCAGAAGTTGAAGCACAGAACTTTTATGCTTATCCATTAAATTTAAATATAAAACCTGCTGGCTAGAGGCACCACAATATAGTGCAGCAAACTAGTTTTAAATTCGTTGTCATTGATTGTCTATATCATTTTTTCGAATATATAAAATAATAAGTTTAAAAATGATTTTTTTAAATAGAAAATGAAATACAGTAGATCCCCCTATAAAACCGTTTCCTATAGTTATGATTCCTATAAAAATTGTGGCATTATCCGTAAACAACGGTAAAAATAACTCCTATAATACGTAAAACGTCATCGGGCAGCCGAACTACTTACCCGCCGTCCGTAGCGCCACGCTACGGNTCGGTTCTTCCGCTTTTACATTTCTTGGAAACTCATTGTATCGTATTGGTTGTTTCGTTGTATGATCCTTATAATTTTCGTAATTTGCTGCAGAATCCTGATTATTTAAGTTATCGGGATTTTTGCTGTTAGAGTAAGTCGCATCGTCCGACTCTTCATTTTTGTTGTATGTTCTTTCATTATGATACTTTTCAGAATTAGCATTATCAGGATCGTTGCTTTTGTAATTCTGGTTATAGTCTGGAGATATGTTTTTAGCATCGCTATCGTAAAAACTTGTTTCTGGATTACCAGTTTTATATTTTTCAGAATTATTTTCATTGTGTCTACTGTGTTCAGCAGAATCTCGATAATCTTTATGATTTTCGTTCGGTTTTCTAAAATTTTCACTCGGTCTCCAATATTTTGTATTTTCGTTTTGATAGTCAATTGAGTGTTGATTTCTCGATCCATCGGGACTACTATATACATTAGGTCTTTGCGGAATATCCGGTCTCTGTGGTCTTTCCCCGTTTAAATTATGATTATTTACAGAAATAACTTTCGAGTATGGATAAGAATCTGATTCCGGATATCGGGGAGTATTTTGTGAGTAAACGTATCTATTAGGTTGAGGATATCTCGGAGAATATCTTTCGCGATGGAAATAATCGTAATCATCGTCGTCTTCGTCATCTTCGTCTTCTCCATAATAATTATTCGGATGATTGAGATATCGCTGACGATAATCGTTGTATCCGTAACTTCTTTCGGTGGGTGCCGCTTCTCGGTAAATCGGTGGGTCGCTATAATCGCCAGGATGATAAGATTTTGATCCCGCTTTGCGAGGATGATGAGTTGGATTGTTTCTCGCGTTTTCTTCGTAATTAGAATTTCTGTGCCGAGGCTCGTTAATTCTGTGATTGTTAGTTGGATGTATAACGCGTTGTTCTTTAGGTTCTGGTTTATGAGTCGAAATATTTTCAACGTTCGATTTAACTGTTGATGCTTTTACGTTTTGCTCTTTCGTAGCTAATTGTTTGTTGGAATCTTTTAGATATTGAATTCGCGTATCTTTCTGCGAAGGTGATTTAGCTTGTATTATAGGAATTTCTGAATCTGGATTCATAGGCACTCTATAAGCTTCCGGTAAATAAATGGAACCATCGTTTCCAAAGGCATCTTCTTCGTTGACAGAAGCCGAACCTGTTGGTAAATAATATCTCACAACAAAAGTGTTTATCGACGAAGGTGGTAAGTACAGAGTTTGTATTTGCCTTCTTGAGCGATGTAAGGGTTTTTCTAAAATTTTTCTTAAATTTAATAACTTATTATTTATGTGATAATACTTTTTTGAGTTTTTGCATAATTTTCGATCGCCGTCTACACACCGAATTAGTTTCTGATTAAACCATAGATTATGCGCACAGGTTAATTTTAATTTTCGATTTAGTTGGCAAAGATAAAACGAGCTGCAATTACTAGAAATATCTGCAAAGAAACCTTGTTTCCCTCTGCAGTTAAACTTATCTGGTGTCGATATCTACGAAAAATAAAATAACGATTAAAAATGTTTAGAAAATTCCTATAGAATATTAAAATAAATTTATACACGGTATTTAATATAATTTAAAATTGATAAAGGATAAATAATTCAAAAGGTATAAAAAATAATTAAATTTTGGTCTGTTATAAATAAATTAAAATAAGTATTTATTAAATAAACTCAATAGGAAAAAGGTGTAAAAAAATATACATTCGTTTACTACATATAATTATTAAATATTTAAAAAGTCTTTTTATTTTTAAAATCGAAAAAGCATCCTTATTTATCCAATTAAAAAAAATAGTTATTTTATATAATATAATTAAAATTTCTTATTACATTTATTTAACGTGTAGGCCTACTGTTTTTATTAAATCTTCCATAAAAGAATGTTTGAATTTTAAACAATTTCTACAGCCTATCTTATATTTAAAATAAAATACCTGTATTAATTACCAAACGTAATAAATATTAATTACCTTCGAACTTATATTTAATTCTATAAAAATAAATATATTCTATATATACATTTAAATCTTTAATCTGATTGTTTAAGCTATATAAAAAATACTATAATTATTTAATTCTAATTTTAAATTTCAAACCGTATTTATTAGTGTATTAGACATAAAAATAGACCCTAATTTTTGTTTCGAAGAGCTTAAAATAGCCGTTTCTTTACGTGATTTTGACGAATCATACAATAATTGATTCATATTTTAAAAAACTTTTTTAACATGATTTTCCTTTGTGAAAATTTCATTGGAACATTTCATTATGAATAACTTTTTGTGGTAATATAAAAAAATAGAATATTTATAAGAAGAAAAATGTTTAGTTTCATATCCTTATATATATATATCAGAGAATACTTATGTTAACATTTACATGGTGTGTTAGTCTAACGTTTCCTATAACTCGCGTGTATTAAAAAAGAAATCGGTCAGTACGTTCCCTATTTAAAATAATTACGTGTTTCTATGAAATTAGATACAATGGATAATTTCTTTCGTGTTATCTGAAAGAAAGGAACAAACGTGACACTCGTGGACCATCTCCATTTCTGATGCATTTGTGACTTTATGGGACAGAATTCTTTTCGGTTTGAGTGATTTTGTATTCATAAAAAAAAGTATATTGTTATTAACAATTGTGTGTGTTTGTTTAATACTTCTATACTTAAATAATTACTAGAAAATATTTAAATAAACCGGGATAGATGAGATAGGAAGAAGTTACTTTTGTTAAGTAATTTCCTCATACCTTTTTAAACAGAACAGGTTAATGTTTATTCTTTACTCGTAAAATGGAGTAACTGTCAAGTTGCACGTATTTTTATAATAATAATAATGGTACAGATACGTTTAACTTATTATTTAATAAAAATGATTTTATTCTTTACCTGTCGAGCACCATTATTCAAACTGTTTACAGAACACCAAATAACTACAATAGAAAATAAGATAACATTAAATACTTAGATTATATTATACTTAGAATAAATAATATAATATAATATGTTACCTGCAAAACAGAAGCATGACAGATAAATTCCTTGCGCGTACATTTCTGAAGGTGTTGTCACTCCATAACCTCTAACAAATGTTTGTTCATCAGATTGTTATGAATCTTCACTGTTAAAACACGCAGTTCATTAATTAAGTTTAATAAATTTTACACAATAGACAATATTAGAACAATTGTCTGATAATCAGTCTTAAGGTATTAAGATCCACGCGACTAATAAATGATTGCCGTTTTCCTACTCTTTGTTCTTTCTTTTTTCGATTTTAAATGTTGAGTAATTTGAAATTTTATCGGCACGTTATCCTACGAATAGAGTTTCAAAACAGAACCAACCGGAAATACTTTTTTTTTTAACAGGAAAATAACTTTACTAGGTCAATGTTCTATAATACGCATTTACAACTATACATATTTCATAGGTAATACTTAGATAATCTATTCAATAGCGAATGGGAGGCAATTAAGACGTGGATTATTTTAATTGGTAATAATACCTTTAACTATTATAATGGAGATATCATCTAACGATATAGACTTCCTTATTTATAATTACGAATATTTTTGACAGGCGAAATTTCAACCGTTCTTAAACGAATTCTTACGTAAAATCGTTAAGAGCTTTTGCATTTATTCACGAGAAAGGTCTAACGAAATTGCATAAGAATTCGTTTAAGGACACTTTTTACTATTTAGGTTATTTAAAAAAAGGTGTAATTATTTCACAGTTATTGACATTCAACGGTGTAACCAAAATTGGGTTTACACGCATAAATATTACAACCGCAGGCCTATTTATTTTCTTTCTCGATATATACATTCAGTATTACATCATATCTGATAGAAAATAGGTTGCGGAAGAAGTGAATTTACTCATTCTTTAAATTTCTCTAATTTAGAGTTGTTTATAAAATTCTAAGATTTTAGCTAAAGATTAAGATGAATTCTAGCGTAACGTTTCGATAATATGAATATTGACTTTAAAATATTCGTATTACTATAATACAGCTAATTCAATAAAGTATATTATATTACGGACAGTAATTTAATAATTTTTGACTGCAAAATTTGCGTATTAGAGACGTTTTGAATAATAGATCGAAATTAGTTCTGCTACAACATCCATCACTTTTCTAAGAAACTCGCTTTAAAATCGAAGATTGAAAGTAAATTGCAGAACATCAACCAAATATAGCCATTGAGCTGGTTTAGAACTTCTTTTGTTCTGTAACATTTGCTATGCGGGACACTTATAAAGATAGGATGTAACAGAGGAAAATAGACTTAAGTGCAAACTATAATGGGATTTAATGCATTCATTTCAGCTTTTTAAACTTTTAAAAAATATATAAAAAGTCATAAATTTGTAATTGTTATTTATTAAACTAGATTAATTGATATCTATACTCTGCTTACTTTAACTTATCAATAGATAATAAATGAGTTGTTGATGTACTGTACCATTCACATATGTAATAAGATTGTTCTTATTATATTTTATAATAGTATTTGGAGGTCAATAACTGTAGAATTGCATTATATATGCTCTTCTTCCTCCGTAATAATCGTATTATATTCGACACGAATTTCTTGGAGAGGAAATTTAGATAATTTTGTTCGCGTGAAAATTCAAACGTTGGTAGAAAAAACACCGAGAAAAATATAATGCCAAAAAGAGAAAACGTTATAAAAACCACTCCCTAATATTAAACTCAACGATCTCCACCCATATTAAAGCAAGAGTAAGTAAAACAATAAATAAAAATTGGCTCATTAAACTCGTTTTAAAATTAATTCCATTGTAAGGAAAGTTGTAAATTTTTCTTTACACAATAAAAGGTCATAACTCGAATAAAATACAGTAGAAGTTCTTCAAAATTGTTATATTGGATAAAATGAAACATTGTCAAAACGAATTTACATGAGAATTAAAAATTAACGGGATTTTTAGCCAATTAGACAAACATTCTTCCGTTAATTTAGGTAATTAAATCATCGAATAGGTCCTTAAGTTTTCTCTTCTTTATTAGTAACAAATGACTGACAGTTTCGGTTGGTTTTAAGCGAGTTAACAAAAACTCAATGAGTGATATCCGAATCAATTTAACAGGAACTTTACTTCAATTAACTAACTAGAGCATTCGAAATATACAATTCCGATTGACGGCAATTTCTCCATTTGACTGTGACTTTGTTAAATAGGGTAATTTTCTTTGTAAAACCGACAGATCATATTTAAAAAAAAAAGGAAATAAACTGGCTATTAAATTAGTCACCCGAAATCGATTTTATCAGTAAGACAATTATACCAAACAAAGTGTCGAAATTTATTGTAAAATTAGATTCAATTAGTAAATACGATAGAAAAAATCCTAAATTTACTTACGTGTTATCTTTAATTGTGTAATAAAATCTGATTTTAATATAGATACAAACGCAATAAAATAGTCAAAGACTGTATATTAAATTTAAACAATAAATTAGAAGAAGTTCTATCGATTTTTAATGTTTCGAAAGGATAGAAAAGTAAATTTGTCTTACCTTTCCAACTTTATCCATCTAATACAGTGAAGTTCTGACATCAACTAAGATACAGTCATGCATAAACTGTGCCAAGTCCTGACTGGATACAACTTACACCTATTTTCCTATTCGCTTAACGTTCAAACTATGGACTTATTTACCGGTTTTGTTCGATGTCTTCGGCTATTTCGGACTTAAAACATAAGGAAGAAAACGTGTTAGTGTAATAATTACCGATATTTCGATTTGATAAATGAATAAAATGTCTTCCAACGTAATAACGTTTTTCGATATTTCTAGTTCGTGTTCTTTAAATAAATGTATGCTTTTACCGAAGGGGCTGATGAAAACAACTTTTTTACAATATATTTTACATTAGCGTGTGAACGGATATCTATTTAAAGTTCATCCAGTCACACACAAGCAACTCTGATGATCACTCGGTTTGCTTTTTATCAATTGCCATTTAATTTAAAACAAGTTTTCGACAGTAATTGAATTAAAAAAAAAAGAAATAATGCTTTATTACCTTCTATAAATGTATCTTATGCAGTTAAATATTTAATTTTCATTTTTCTTTATAGTTAATTTCTTTTATACTAATTGGATTAGTTTTTATTTTGATAAGATAGGAAGAACAAACAAGATTTTATTTATTAAATGTACTATATTTTGTAAACTACTTCCTTTATTAAAAGAAATTATTTACAAAGATTTGTGCTCTAATTTTCTTATTCTAGGCATCCCGATTATGCTTCTAACAGTTTGGCACGCTACTCTCTTGCTTTATTCTTCGATTCATCGTGCTCCATTTATTTAATAAAGATTTATGCGTAAAAGATGGGACAAATCAATAAAATTCGATGCGATTTAGTTTATTTTAAAATAACATATTCTATAAAATGTTATATTTAGGGGGAGGGAAAGCTAAGGTTCGATCGGTAAGGTTGTATCGTCGTTCTAATAAAACATTGTATAATTAAATTTAAAAATATTTAATGTTGCTTAGCATTTTAGCCATTTAAGTCTGCTCTTTTTGAAAGAGTAGACTTATAACCGAATCTTCATTTTTATAAAAATATCAAAGGAGATGTTTAAAAGAGAATTAAAATTTTATAATAAGAGCTCTCTTTATCTCTTTATCATATGTTTTAAAAGATAAAGTTAAAATTTGAATATACTACAATTAAATTTTAGAAAATTTTAGGTTATAAAACAGTTGAAAAGATCTGATGTGTGACTTTAACAACCCGTTTTAATAAAGATAGATTAACTAGATTTATAAGTATGCTCCATATTTCTTATAGCTATTGTTATACAAACGTTATCATTAACATTCTATCGAGGACATAAAAGAAGAGTTGGTATACAATGTAACAGAATTCTTTATGTTAGATCAATTTTTGTAGTGTTTATAATGTTTAGTTTATTATCTATTATTATCTATAATTAAGACATAAAGAAATAGATTTATATTAAAAAGGGAAAACTGAACTAGAAGATAATAAGAAAACTATTCTAAATCATTATCAATGCGATTAATTTTTATTAGTCGCATTGTTCAAGATCATTAACAATAAAAATTGACCATCTTCTTATGATTTTATCAGCCGTAATTTATAGATAATTCAAAATTGACAATAAATTTGATTAAAAATTCTTCTTTAGGACCATGTTTATTTAAAACTTTTCTGACGTTATTAACCCGTAACCAATAAATTAAAACAGTAACCCAAATTTTGTCATTTTAGTAGTGGTTTTCGAACAGCGGGTCGCTACCCCCAAGAGACTAGTGTAAAAGTTTTAGTGACTCGTGACCTATCAATTTTTGTACTATATAAAAATTGATAGGTCATGTAAAACTGATTGACAATTCTAGTTTATTATTTCATTACGTAATAAAAAACAATTTAATAATTAATACTGGGATGTATCAGGGATGCTCAACTGGCGAAAAATTCCTGCAGTTATAACTCGAAATTATTTATTATTAATTGAAAATATAATATTTGTAATTTAAATTATGTTAATCTACTTAATAAAAATGGTATTCATTTATTCACGTTTTATAATGAAACGGAATAATTCAAATTAAAATATATTTGATAAATTATTATCCCAATAAGTAACTTAGTCGGTAGCAAAAGCTGTAAATATGGGTCAAAATGTTAAATATTCTACATCTTAGATCGGTTTTTGAATGAATACGGTTTTTAATAGGCTTTTATCACTTTTTTTTTAATCATCTTTTACCTAAATAAATTCTTCTTAAAGAATAAGGCTTTTGTTCAGTGCGTATTATCCTACGGGCAAAAGGGGCAATTGTCCGAGGTCCCACCAACAGGGGACCCCAAACCGATCTTTTATAAGAAAATATTACCCCAAAAAACTTTTCCCGGAGAAAAACGTCAACAATTAATACTGTAAGTGGGATTCCCTAATTTAAATTTGCCTGGGTGCCCGTAAAACTATAACGAGCCACTGTTTCGATTTTACCTATTCTTCTCGGATCTGATCGGAAATGATTCGATCAAAACGAGTGAGAGATCGATCCGAAGTTTCTAGAAAAATACTAAAAAATATGAAGACGTGGATTTCTTACGATGTTGCCCATCTTACAATAATGTCATACAGTCAATATACTATATATTTTAAAACATGTCAGGATATTACTTTATTAGAGGTTAACTTATGAGTTTTTTGTAAAGTTTTTATATCAGTTTTCAACAAAATATCAAAGTAAAATGATTTAATTTAAGTTTATTAAGTAATTGTTAGATTCAATGCGTATATCGAAACCAGTATTGTTAATTACTGTGTACTAATTAGACCTGCACGTGTCATCAAACTTCAAATTATCCATTTATTACAGCAATTGAAGTTTGTTATTTTGGAGAATAAAATTCCTATTAAATTGTTACTGACCATAAATGAAGTACTTTGTTACTTTTTCCCTATGATCATTACACATCGTAAAACTTTATTGCGTTTTGTTTGAGTTATCCACGTAATATTAAAAACCGCGATTTGATCCATTCTTTTGTTTGATGTATAAATACAATTTTTAAATTTAAATCTGGAACATCGCGATTCGCCGATATCTCGTATATCTAGAGGATAAAATTCAATTGAGGAATAAAGTTTTAATTTATCGTGTAAGCTATATATATATATATATATATATATATCAAATCTGACATATCTAAAAGTATTAAAAGTTCTTAGAGATGACATTTAAACGTCTATCTTCGGTGTATTTCCTCNATCCTGAAGTTTACATCGGTGAACATCGATTGCAAAGTTTTTTAATCATTTAGATCAATGTCAATTGATGTAAGCTATATATATATATATATATAGGCTGAGCAGCCTAATAAGTACTTTACTGCTTAATTTATTAAATTGAGGAATAAAGTTTTAATTTATCGTGTAAGCTATATATATATATATATATCAAATCTGACATATCTAAAAGTATTAAAAGTTCTTAGAGATGACATTTAAACGTCTATCTTCGGTGTATTTCCTCGTAGGAGGCCATGCTTACCGTAGCAATACTTAATGCTTATATTAGAAACAATGCGTTATTTGTTCGTAGGAAACAATATATTGTTAATACAATTAAAAATTAATGCTATAATTAGATGGAATTATATTAAGAAAAAGAAAAGAAAAAAAAATTGAAATTAGGATGATCACTAAGAAAATATTATTGTTGTGTCTGTACCACACCCCGATTTACTTGAATTTCTATAAATGGAACACCA